AGACTGGCAATGCTTGGGTGGTCCAGTCTTCAGTCGAGGAGATCTTATCTATCCTTGCTAGAGTGCTACAAGACTATTCATGGTCTTAATGGCCTCAACTGTAATGATCATTTTGAATTTAATAGTTATGGTAAAACAAGATCAAACCATTCATTCAAATTAAGACAGCCATTAGCGAGAGTGAATCGTTTTTTGCATTCATTCTTTGTTAGAGTTGTGAAACAGTGGAACGCTCTTCCTAAAGAGATAGTGCACGAACAGGATTTTAACATTTTTCATAGTAAACTTATAAAGTATTGTAAAATTTCGTAAAATATGTATATATATATTTATTAAAAACTGGATCATTGGATAATGCAATTCAAGACTTTTCATTGGCTTAGCCATTATGGTATATGAGCCAATATACCATAAACTACGATATGATAAGCGTATGCATAAGCTTAAAATTGAAAGGGAGCTAAAAATTTAATAAAATTTAATAATTTAACGTAGCGTTTTTAATAAAACAATTATTCCACTTGCGTTTGTTGGATATGAGATGATTATAGCCAACTCGGCGCTACGAGCCTCGTTGGCTATCTATCATCTCATATCCAACGCGCGCTCGTGGAATAATTGTTAAATATATAGGCTGTGTAAAATTGGTATACCTCACGATGAACTCCCAGTAAGAGGATCCACAGGATACAATGTCTCGACGTGAATTTGTAGTTAAGTGTAGAGTAAGGTCGACGTAACGAAGAGACCAACTCTTAACTGTTCTGGACTAGTTTAATGGACGTCGTTTCGGCCGTTCGATTGTCAATCGTTGAAATTACCTGATGAGTGTGGTCATTTTCGACCATACGAAACAGAGCTGTCGCAATAAAACGATGAACTACCTCTGAAGTCCTGAACCAGTTTGTTATAATTATCAATGTTCCTCTAAGAGTTGAGCGCTCTTTGAAATACATTCAAATCAAGTTCAAGAATTCATATAAATATATATAGATATATATATAACTGCAGACAGTACCGACTTTTTTTTTTTTTTTGAAACTCAACTTTATTTATACAATGATTAGTATTATGAACAGAACAAAACTATCAATTGCGTACTCAATTAAGTTAATTAACGGTTAAGGGCCCGCTGTGCAGTACACCAGTGAAGGAGACCCAGCACAGGGGAAATTAGCTAAGTTATTGACAGTTGCTGGGTGTTATTACTATGTACAAGTTGTTTTACGGGAAGGCTAGCTCCTCCGTGCAGTAACTCGGTGAAGAGACCCTAGCACCGGGAGAAATCTGTTTTCTATTTACACGCGAGAAGGGTGCCCTCTGTGCAGTACACCAGCTAAGGAAACCCAGCACAGAGATATTATGTAGTGGAAAAAGTATTTACAAGGGGCGATTTACACTTTGATTTTGAATTAACGGTTCACAAAGAAGCAGAGGACGTTCCGATGAGCCTGCAGACTGTACTGCAGACAGTACTGTTTCGGCCTTCTGGGCCTCATCAGGGCAGTGCTGATGCTAGGATGGGGGAGAACCGATATGGTCACCCTAAACGATCCCTCATTTGTGGTATCGTCTAAGCCATGCCAGAGTGCTCAAACTAGAAAAGCCTAGTGAGCTATGCATGATGCTAGTGGCAATGACATCCCACAGTGCTCAATTTGGACATGAAAGCAGGGCTTTATATGCCAAAGAGCTATATCCGTCTAACTGCAGACAGTACTGTTTCGGCCTTCTGGGCCTCATCAGTGCAATGATTCTTAAATTTTACATTGTAGTATAATTATATATTTTATATTTTATGTAGGGAGCGTCCCCGATAGGGATATCATCCGACGCTTCCTTTTATGTAGGCACATAACAAATTGATTGATTTGAAGATATTCCTCGATCATCCGAAGGAAATCGAAGCGAGGACGTGTCAATGTCTACCTTATAGCTAGCAGCCGTGAATCGGTAATTGGAAAGAAAAGCACATGGCGGTAAAGAACCTGCGTCATTCACTTGCTTATTCACAGGAATACCAAAAATATTACAAGGTAACAGGAATATACGAAAAAAACTTACAAGGTCACTTAGTCAAATTGAAAATTTTTAAGCGAGGACCTCTCAGTTACGAGCAAAAGATTTCGTATTCTTATCAATTGTCAACACCAACCGACATTGAAGCGAAACTTAAAGACTAATCCTTAACTGAATAACTGAGTCAGAGAAGAGAAGAAAAGATCAGTAAAAGCCATTTCTTTAAATTTTTTTTAATTCCAATCGAGGACGAGAGAATTCTCTAGTCGGTGACTTGGAACTGAGGGCATGAAAGACCAGAAAAACACGAAAAAACTCTCGCAATAATTATAATGATGCACACACTTTGTTGTATTTAAGCAGGTTACATCTGCATTCTCACCAGTCCGTGGCAACCTCAAGTTATATCTACAGTTAAACTGTAGCCAACATTAAATAATGATGATGACCCATGTTTTCTCCAATGTTCGCTGCAGCTTGTTGTACTTGACCGTTATCATGGTGAGTCAAACTTCTGCCAAGCCAGGAAATAGCGCTAATAGCACCCCAGTCAATTTTTCACCCACACACCATTGCAAAAACGTCTACTTCAGCCTCTATGCGGGAACGGCAAACAAGAGGATCGGAACACTTTTTCGGGAGATGAAGAAACAGCTTACGCATGTCAAGAATGATATCAGCATCATCAAAGCTAGAAACAACACTTCATGGAAAGGTATGTTCACGATCGTTCATCCCTTTTTTTCCCTTTCCATTTGTTCAAAATTTTTACTCAGGTAAAAGAAGTCCTATGGATTTTAATCTTGTCTATCTGGTTCTGATTTAACTCTTCTCATTTCTGAAGAATCTACAGAAACTCTCCTTCGAGAAATAAAAGAGAAACTTCTAGAAATGCAAAACGACATTGCTCCTATCAAAGAAAACAAGACGCTCTCTGAATTTCAACATAACTGTACTGAAAGTAAGTGTTATAATTCTTTTTTTAAAAACAGAATTATTTAGAAGGTATTTTGATGTTTTTCTATGAAATGACAAATAAGGTGACTCACGGATTCTCGCGGAAATCTAGTTATTTCTTCTAACAGTTAAGACGAACTGTGCTGAGCTGTACAAATCTGGTAAAACAACCAGTGGTGTCTATACAATCGACCCTGATGGTTTTGGAGCATTTAATGTCTTCTGTGACCAAACAACAGCCGGTGGAGGTGGACAGTGTTTTAGAAGAGACTAGGCCGATTACGAGAATGGCTTTGGTAATCTGCATGGTGAGTTTTGGCTGGGACTGGACAAGATACACCATCTTACATCAACGATAAAGAACAAGCTCCGTGTAGATCTGACGGACACCAAAGGCAAAACCGCTTACGCCGAATACAACATGTTTGCAGTTTCCATTGGGAGACTAAGTACAAGCTGAGCCTTGGAAGCTACTCAGGTAACCTCAGTGATAACTAGAAAATTTACTGCTAAGAGTTGCCTTGCAGTATTCACTTACTGAACTTGAAACAAGTCTTTAAAGGAAAGGATTCACGGTTATGCACATAAATGAGAGATGACGCGGCTTCATTGTTTATTAGCCAATCAGAGAGTAAAGGTAAAGACAGACCGGCAAGGACTCCCTACGTGGCTTTTGTGGTCGCGTCGCATTATCGTCTTCGATTATATTTTTGCTCTCACAAGCGAGTGGTGAGGGATTTTCCCTTTTTGCAAGAGATGATCGGATGTCATGTAAAAATTGTTTTGAGCAAGGGCTGATTGTATATCTGAGGGGATTGGGAGTTTGCGAAAGCCATTTCTTAGTTATGTCATCTATGTGCTTTCTCCGACAGTGGTCAATAATCTCATTCACCCTTTCCTACGTGTTTCTTATTGTCGTTGCTTTGAAAGGTTTGTAGGGAACTCTGTTGTCGAGTTGCACTTTGGCCTCTCCTTTTTTCTTTGTCTTATTCATGATGACTCTTATTGTGTTGCTTTTTAAAGGATTAAAAGCAGATTTGCTTTTTAATATAATACATTGAACTTGCCTGAGGAATCCTTTAAATATTCGCTAACAGATACATAAATCAGAAAATGATAGCTCGTCGCATTATCAGATGAAATTTATGATGAGTCTGAAAAATGAAATAGCTTTAAATATTTAATAGCTGTTTTTATCTATTTCTTGAACATTAAATTCATCGATTGCCCCTGTTTTGTAACTTTATAGCATAGCAGAGCATAGCGCCAAGGAATAAATTCCGTCTATTCTGAAAAGTTAATTTCTTTTTTTCAGGAACTGCGGGTGATTCTCTTTCTAGACATCACGGCCATCCCTTTTCAACCAAAGACAATGGCAACAAGGACTGTGCTAAGACCAAGGAGCCTGGTGGTACGCGAGCTGTCATCACTCCAACCTGAATGGACTGTACCATCATGGACTGTACCATCATGGACTGTACCATCATGGACTGTACCATCATGGCCTGTACCATCATGGACCGCACTCATCCTATGCAGATCGAGTCAACTGGTATCACAGGAAGGGACATTACTATTCCGTCAAGAAAACTGAGATGAAAATCAGACCAGTACAAGTTCAGAAGTGTGTTTTGTTTCCGAAATTTAAAAATCAGAACGTGTAAAGGAAACACAAGAGACAACGATTAGAAGGGGACGATTTCGGGCTCGTTTTTTAAACCTATGCTCCGATTTCTTCGCTGTTATAGATATTTACAAATGGATGAAAAACTACAACGTTCAGCCCAAACCCCTCGAGTTTTCTATCAACTACTTTTATAAACTGTAAGTATCGCCGTCCCTAGAAACACGCTATCATCACGTGAGACCCCGAATCGCAAACCCGTTCACGTGATCCAAAATACCACCCCCCTTCCCACTGCTTTCAACGTTAGGCTGAAATCTGACAAAGCCGTCAGTCTGTTCGCATATCTCAAAGAAAGTTTCTACATTTCCTCTTAGTTTGGAACAAAATTGAGACGTCGTTGATTAGATTGCTTTAATTCGATATGTTAAATATCTGTAAAAGTGGGTCAGAGTCAAAGAATAAATTACCTGACCACGGCACTGGGATTCACATCACTCAACTAAGTCTAATAACAACACTGACTGCTGCTGCTGAGGCAGCTCATTGTGTACCCGACTACATTTGGAAATAACCAACCAAATCAAAGTCAGTTACTCTTCTATCTGCCTATGCTACAACTCGAATGGTATACAACCTTACATTTTCTTACTATACTACCCGAAGTACATTTACCAGTCAAGTCTGTTCAGGCAATCACTCGGGTACATACGCCATGCAAGACTAGAAAAATGAGAACTGAAGGGATTAAGAACTCTGACTTATAAAATTAAGTGCAAGAGCACAATGGATGGTACCTTCTCCCTTCCTGTTGCTTTAGATTCCCTTCTAAAGAGAATTTGATATTATGTCGATACAACACCCTCCGACTCATGCGTTTCTCTATTCTCACTTCTTTTAGGACAATGTAGCGAAATTTTAGGCGTACAAGCGGCAGACGATAAATGCAGGCGCTAACATGTTTTAGTTATTTTCTATGGACAACTTCGATGTTGTCCACCTTTAGCGGTTTATCATTATCTTCTATATAGGAATCGCTACTACAGCGTGACACTCTCGAAGTTGTCCTTTCCAACTCAATCCAAACAAGTCACTAGTGTAACAAAAATCTTACTTGTCCAGATATGTCGGGTTTGCGGTTTTGGTGGCGGTCTTAAAGTGACAACAAGCCCTTAAAACCTACCACAACTGGCTTTAAGTTGGTACTACTCGATCGAGCACTACCGGAGCCGACTGCGAACAAATACTTTTAAAATGCAGGTATTTTGAAGATCTCTTTTTACGTCTTTAAATTGAAGTGGGGGGAGGAGGGGGGAGTGGAGGGGAGGTATTCACACCTCTCGTTTAAACTTAGCAACCACATGAAAAATAATTTTAAGGAGACAGGTCAGCTTCGTGAAAAGTTAAGCTTAAATCCTTCAGTTCTTCCTTTGTAGTCCGTTATCCTAACCATTCTCTTTCCTTTCTACCCTTCGAACTCCTTTGGTGTTTGTCATCAACGATGAACAATTATTTGACGTTTCATTGCGTTAAAAGGCAAGTTTCTATGACGCTAGAAGTGACTAAACCTTCCTAGGATTTATCAATAGTCATTTAATTCTACACACGAATTGAAACCTTTGACATGGCAGGAGAGACAAGAGCCAGACTGAACAGTAACGTGATTTCCAGGTTTTGAAGCTATTACATATTAAGGGTGTTGTTAGAATCATCTAAGAAAAAGTGAACAGCATCGTCTCGCGCAGACCCGAGTGATTTCATTCCCTGCAACTGTTACCTTAATGATCTGTCTACGTGAATGTTGTATGTACAAAATAACTGTCGATAAGAAAAGGAAGACAACGGACGTCTCGATCAGAAGAAAGAATTGCAACAAGTTAGATAAGAAAAGCATCACTATGAACAAAAATTGAATTTACAATCCAACCGGGGTGGTTTTCTAAGACCAAAGCGAGCCAGATGTATCCCAGTGTGTGCAAAAAGTACTTAGCTTTAAGTGACACAAGCCACGTAATCTCATGACACTTCTTTCTCTCTCGTAACGCCATCCCTTGACTACAATACACTAGTTTACCTATAAAATCCGTTTAACAATAATCAACTGTACAGAACTGGACAGGTTTATGACGGGGCATTATGCTCGGTCTCTTTGTCTTCGTCTTTCTTTTCTTGCGCGTTCTTATCTTTTTCCCATTTCACGGAGTATTTGTTGTGTTTAATGGCGGCATCCGTGATACTCTCACAGGTTGTTGTGCAAGGATGAAGCCCATCCACTCGTCCCAGCAGCCAGTCATGACACCCGCTCTCCTGGTCGCTTGACACGTGATTCTTTACCCACTCGCTTAACCACGCCTGAAATCTGCAGTGAAGGCGGTTTGCCACTAGAGAATGACTCTGGAAAACAAACATGCAAAATACAGTCACTTCTAAGCTTCGATACTTTTCTCACCTTCTCTTTTTTCAAGCTAAAATAAACTGAAGTAAACAAACTATTGCGGAATATTTGAGGAATTGATCAAACACTAACTCAAACCTGCTAGTCAAATGCTTACAGGAATCACTGAAACTATTTCAGCACTACTGATAGTCCTTATTTCGATTCTCCTGGATTTTTGTGCTCAGTAACATTCCTGGGAGAACAACACTGGAAGCTTATAACAATAAACAATTAATCGCCACTCCTTTTTATCACAAGACGCTTGCAAAAGTTTCCAATGGATTCAAAAACTATACATGACTTCCATTTGAAAATTAAGATCCCAACTGGTTGACATCAATTACCCCTCGACCTCCATTTCCTCCTCAATTTGACACAAGACTGCACCACGCCTTCACTTACCTCTTTCGCTCGCTTCAGAGACTGTCGTCTGTACAAGTAATCTTCACTGCCTTTGACAAATCTAATCTTGTACGAGTTCAAGCTGAGTTTGCATTCCATAGAATTCTCAACATCCATTTCCTCGCCCTCATCATTTTCTTCTTCTTTCTCGCTGCAAAAAAACAAAACATCAACACAACAAAAGTTGAAAACTATGAAACCACAAGCACGGAGTTGATATTTGTCTATAAGATTTTACTCTTCCTCGATCATCTCACGTCCAGAAAAAAAAAAACGTGGGCGGGTTAGGGATGGATGGTGTTCGCTTACTCAATTCCCAACCTCACCCCGACCCCTTCCCCCCATACCCCTTGCAAATTCGCCGATGGTTTCGTTAACACAAATAGAAGTCGTAGAAAAATTTCCACGAATGTTGAACTTATTTATTTTATCTGCCACTTCAATTACAGGTTAATTGAATCTTTGTTGCTTATTGTTTGTTTGGCCGATAAGCTTTTTCATACTAACCTGTTGTTTCCCTCACTTTCAGCATCATCAGTTGACGATCCATTATCATTCGTGGTTGATTCTTTCTCGGTACTTGGAGTAATCGAAGATTTCATCCGCGAGTTGGAACGAACCGTTCTGGAGAGAAAACAAAAACCGCATCACATTCAACCATCCACTCAATCTTGCTGAATTTTAGTGTATTATTACTGTCACAGTTGAGGTATTACACACGAAAAAGACCCTTGCACAATTTCTCACACCATCACTTCAGAGATGACTAACAGCTCAAAACTGTTCACGGTATTTAGCTGCATTAGTTGACCACTGATGCTTTAGGCTTCCAAGCGTATTGGCAACATAAGGAGGAAGACACTCCCCTCTACAATGACTAGCAAGAACTCCTACTCTAGCAAAACTTAGAGTTTCTCGTGTCTAGCCGAGAGAAGCCTAATCAAGACTTCTTCATCGAGACTGAAAGTATTCTAACCTTGGTAAAAATATGGGTTTGTTCTGTAAATGATCTTTAACTTCCGTGGAAACTTCCTCGCTGCCCACGAACTTTTCGACGTACTCATTCCATTTCTAGAGGAATGAAAAATACAGCTTAACTTAGCTAAAATACGTCGTAAAAAACCTGTCACCTCTTAAGAGACATTCTCATCTATAAAAACTTTACCATAGACCTATCGATAGAGCTATACCTTCGTTTATCTTCAACATATCGCTCTCCAGCCAACCTGTTAACTGGACTGATTCCGTGGCCCTCTTCCCGTAGAAATGGATAAATTTTCACGAGTTTTTGATCACTGTTCCAAGTCAAACAATTCAAAAGTATCCTGTAGGGGTCTCATCTCAACGTCTTTTCTGAGGATGATTTCAGACACATGCATGTAACACTCAACTTTCCGCATGCCTTGCTACACATTAGTTTCGATAACAGCCATTGGAACCGAGTGTCGGATTTAGTGTTGGATAAATAAAATCACCTTTACCCGCTCAAAATGCAGTGATACTCTTGTTATTGAACATACCTCTACTTCGACTGGATCTTCTGAATGAGAGTCCTCTGTATCCAGCAATTCAATACTCAGCCTGCAGATGTTCTTGTCTTTGTGCTGTTAAAATTAATCACAGTAAAACCATTAAAAAAATTGAAAAAAAAAAAAAAAAAGTCAAAGCACTTAACCCTAAAACAACTAATAAATAAAGTTAATCCAAAGACTACATTTTCACACTTACAATGACAACTCTGTAACAGTTCTCATCCGATAGCAGTGACTCAGATCTCTTTTGATAGGCAGCTTCTGACACCGCACGGGTATGCTGAGTGGCCGAGCTACCACCAGTGGCAAGGTTACCTTGCTCCTGCTGGTATAGCTCAGTGACCTGGTTGCATGAATCGTCTGTAACAATGGTGTGCAGCTAAGAGAAAAAATTAAAATTACGTCACGTTTTTCACGGAGGAAGTTAATTTCAATTCTCACAAAGGTCTCTGCTGACTACATCAGTTATTGGGTTGGGTGCGTGTAAACTAGCTGGAATAGCAAAACGCCCTTCCATAAGTTCTATTGATGATATTCACGTTGACATTTCCTTGACTGCCAAATCATCACTCACCTGCCTAACTATGTTCTGAACTAATTTGTCCATAGTAAATGCGATGTAGGCGTGAACACCAAACATCTCACGACACGTATCCTCAAAGTTTGTAGAATCCATGTTTCCTAGAGCAAATAGGCATAAATTGCATCGTCAACACTCAATCGTCAGGTTTCCAAAAGAGAACAATAATACTATCAAGTACTTAACTTAGTAGGAAAAAAAAAAAAAAAAAAAAAAAAAAAAAAAAGAAGGCAAGGAGCTAAAAGGGATTGCTCTTACCGTCCAGCAGGTTTCTTATCATGTCTAAAAACGCTGGATAATATTCCTCGAGGTCTATTTCGCTTGGTGCCTTCAGTCTCAGTGCAATGGCTGTGGCCTGTTTTCTTTGCTGCTTGTCACAAGCTTCACCTTCCGCTATCATGACAGACTGTTGATACATCTTCAGCAGTCGCTCACAGAGCATCTACACATGAACAATACAATTACATTTTAAATATAAACTATGGTGAACCCTAGCTCAAACAACCTTCAGTGAGAAGCACTAATTTGTCTCTCAAAAGGACGCTCACGAACAGGAAAGTATCATGAGGATTTCCAGTTGCACTCAGCGTTCCATAAAATAAAAAAATAATAATAATGATGAAAAGAAAAATATTTTTTGTAACTTGATTAACTTGTGTTTCTTTACCTGATGAAGTCTGAAGAGTAAGTACCAGTTGTTGTTTACGTATATTAAGTTATAAGCGTCATCCTGAAAGAAAAAGTTTATGGAATCATTAACAAGCGGATAGCCACAATAAAGACCCAATCTTCCACGAGTACCGGGGATGGCGAGCTACCACTCAAGTTTTGGATATTAATGATTTAACAGCACGTCAATGTTACATGACTCTGAGGAAGACACCAAAACTTGGAAAAGTTTTCAATAAGCAATCATTGAACTACTTATGACAAAACTCTTCGCGAACCTATCAAAAACAAAACAAAACAAAACAAAATAACTTACTGCTTCTGCCTCTGGTAAACCGTTAGTAAGTTCCGGTTTGCCTGAAACAAAGAGAAAAAGAATTAATGAAACTCAAGTAAATAAAAACAGTACGTGTAAAAATAATTTAAGTCATAAGGCGATACTCGCTTATTCTGCAGAGTCTACCGACGCGCTACACGTGGTAAAAGCAGATTGCACACGTCAAGGATAGTCCTTTTACCATTCATTTCGTTGTCTCCTTGGCAGCCGTATTTTTATCTAGATACACAAAGTGCTCTTTCCTCCCTACAACCAAACAAAGGCCACGAGCGACTATATTCATTACACGCATAGAATTGAGCGTGCACTCTTTAAGTTTCCAGTTTCTTACCAAGGCCGTTAAGTTCCTTAACTGAATCTTCATCATCACTTAGCTCACCCCTGAAACAAAACAGTCCTAACATAAGTATTCTCTTCTGTTTAGTTAGTAAACTGACTATAACTACACATACCAAAAGTAACACTTCATTTTATTAAAAGACTTTCTGATAGCTCTTGTGACTGACCCTTTACCACAATTAGCGACCAACATAAAATTTCACCTCAGGAAGAAAAAAATCTCCATGGCTACAAAGTACTTTAAATGCAACGCCGGTTCAGTTTACTAGTCCGCTTTCAATGGGTATCCTCTTAATTGTACTTGTATTTTTTTTTTTTTTGTACCATAATCTACCCTTCATCGACGTAATGCGTGTCTCCACAGGTGATTGAGAAGGACATTAACAAGAGAAGTACACATTCAGGCGAGGGGGAGAGGGAGCTGTCTAGCAGGTTCTCCCTTGTTTCATATCTGCTTCCCACATACGTTTCTCTCTTCTCCATAAGCACCTGATTTTCACTCTCCTTACTACGATTGGACTTTCTCTCCTTCCTTACCTTGGGGCGAAGAACAAGTCCGGTAAGAAACAGTGTAAGAGAATCTTGATCCTTGCTTTGTCTTCCTTGTGAATACTCGTCTGTCTCTTCATGTGATGAACAATCAGACCAGCCGAATCATCCAGAATAGACTTGTCCTGGTAAGTGTAAACCAAGTGAGGCCCTCCAGCATCTCCATTACCTTCGGCAGCTTGCTCTTGTCTCTGAAATGCAGAACAAACTTGATTTGAGCACTTCTGAGATGGCATTCATCTGCAACACCGCTCAAAAGGAGTTCCCTTTATGGAATAGTATAGTGCACAAAACTAAGAAATCCCTTACGAGATAAATTCTTGGTATAAACAAAAACAAAATGCGCGAAAAAAGGAAAGATGACAAAGAATGTTGAAGATCTCTGCCCACTTGAAACGATGCACAAAATTTTTCACGTAACAAAAACTAATGACGTATATCCCTGAGGAGATTTTTGTACCAAAACATGAAGAAACTAAAATATATATTACACAATTACATTCTATGTTGCTGTGGATCTCTTCAGTTATATATCACTGAGGAAAAAATGCATTAAAAGAAAAAGTAGCCAGTTGGAAGTGTATCACAGCACTTGTCATATAAATTATTCTAACATTTTAGTTCATTCTAGTATGTACGATCTTTTGATAAACAACCACATTATTCACGAAAAATTTGATCGAAGCAGGTAATTTTCTAGTCTATTATTTTTGCTCTAACTTTCAAATGACATTCTTCGCATCTCTAAATATTTCATTGTAATTTAATGTTTGTTCGGCAGCTTGCTCTTGTCTCTGAAATACAGAAAAACTTGAGTTGAGCACTTTTGAGATGGCATTCATCTGCAGCACCACTCAAAAGGAGTTCCCTTTATGGAATAGTATAGTGCACAAAACTAAGAAATCCCTTACGAGATAAATGGTTTTGCTTTTAACATATTCTGTTAAACACTACTGATAGAAAGATGTTCTAATGCACATAGGTGTTCACAACATAATTTATTACAGTTTTATAACATACCTCGTCATAAATAGTCTCAATCTCATTAATCAAGCTTTTCGATCTCATGGCCTTCAAGTCATTTTGCTTAAAAGTGATCCCTTGATGGTCCAAGGACTGGAAAAGTAATTTTAGCCGCAAGTTAATTATATGCGAAAAAAGTTTATACCAGTATCACAAATTTTGGAGAGCAAAATAAAAATATTGAAGGGGAGACAAAAAAATCAAGTGGCAATGCTTGGCACTAACAATTTCGGTTTGCAACAATTTGCAACAATTTCGGTTTGTTTACTAGCCAAACTGGCTGGTGGAAATCGAAAACCACACTGAATTTCTACTACTCTGTGGCTAGTTGGCTACCATTAGCGTTGAGCCCCAAGTGGAAGTAAGACTATCATTTACCTTTAGGTAATACTTTTCATTCTGATCTCGCCATATTTTATTAAACTGCCTTTGAGATTCTCTCCACTCTTCTTCTTTAGTTTTTAACCTAAAGAAGAAAATTTATTTCAAAGTAATTACTTTTGTTGAGAGAATTTTCCTCTTAGTGACACAAGCACAGTCTGAATGAGAAATGTATCAAGTGCACCTAAGAACCTGCAGCTGTATGTCTGTCCAACTACCAGTTTGAAAGCTCTAACACTAAAATATGGAAAAAATTGTGCTAGCTGATGATTTAACTCTGTTCTGGAGTAAAACATACTGTGTACTGCAAAGGTTTGAAAGTCAATCTAAATCTTTTGCACAATATAGACTGAGGATGGCAGGTTTTCAACCTGGTGATTATGGGAGTGATGAGATATTTCATTACTTTTATATGCACACACAAGTCTTTGTAAAGAAGGTACCAGCAGCATTCTCTGTCTCAAAAATAGGAAAATAAATTTCCTCACCTCTTAAGTACCAGTGGCACAGCCACTGCAGGTGTTTTCTTCAAACCATCAATGATATCAGGAGCTTTGTCACCGTATATCCTGATTAAAAGATCAACAATGATGTTACGTCTAACTAAATGATGGGGCAACATATTTTCACTAAATGTTAAACAAATAAATTATTTTCAATATTCCAACTGCTCCTTAATGTTATGCTGATTGCACTTCAATACATTTGGACTGAAATCATTTTCAGTATTAGGATAAGATGGACTCACAAACAACAGTATGGTTGAAGTAGTTAGCCACAAAGAATTCAAGACCCTGAGTAGGGTTTTGCAACCTCATAAAAATACCATGTTTATGACAAGATAGATGATTGTACCTCTGGATGGCCTTTCTGTGAATGAACTCAGATGTTCCTCCTATGCAGCTATCTAGACGAAATTTTGCCTGCTCTTCAGGAGGCATTCTGAAACAAAGAATGGCAACAAGACTTTAACAAAACAAAGACGATGTCAAGCTTCCTTAACATGAAACTGCAGACTTGCAACTTCTATGAAGCATCTAAGCAAAGGAACCTTACCTATGTAACTACATAAGTAATTAATGTAATGAATGAAACATGCATCATCATCTGCTTGAAAAGGACTTCTCTTTACTTCCACTGTATGTCCTACATTTAGCAATATTAAGACTTCTGTGCATGTACATGTAAATACTACATACCTCTGGAGTTTTTTCTGTATGGCTTCTAAAACACGAATGGTTGAAAGATTGGATTCTAACACAACATCCAACTGAAAACAAACAATATTTTCCCAAATTGGTATTAAAATGAAAATGGTTTTCTAGACTAAAACAAAATGTAAAAAATATAAGATTAAAAAAAGTTTGCAAACCAACCTCAAATCGTTCATCCTCACACCTACAGATAAAAAGAAGAAAAATGGAGATTAAAAACATATCCCGAACATGAAAGAATAAAAGTGGCTCATACTGTAGATACTTTGCAACTTTAAAACTGCAAACCAAAACCATGTTTAAAAAATAAGTTCAGACTTTTGATCATTTGTATTACCTAAAAATGTACTCTTCATATTGGGTTTTTCTTGTTCCTGGAAAGGGAGTGTCTTCCGACCATGATGGAAAGGACACCCAGGTGTCATTGAGGACTTCTCTACACAAAGCAGTACGCCCACTACATTTTGGCTGTGTATAGCTCTTAGGAAGTGCCCTATAACTTGTTCCGTATCTCTTGCAAGAGGAATAATCTATCTCAAGATGATGCAGTTCTCCTGAGGTTCGTTCTTTGACATTAGCCATACTCTCCATAGGAGAGGAGTCTTTGTAGCCTAGGAATTCCTTGAACCATTGAAACAGCTCTGGGTATTTTCTGTGAGGGAATAAGATTACCAATCAATACAACATACAGTAATAGTTGGAAGAAGGGAGCTTAAAATATTACATATTTCCCTGCAATCTATTATGAAAATATCATGAGAATGCTGACAACAATTGAGTTAACACATCTAAAAAATATTATAGGGGATAGTTAGTTGATTAGAGCTTACCCCAAGAAGCTTGATGCTAGTTGAACCAGTTCTGATCGAGATATAACTTCTTGATTGAACAATACAAGACATCGCAAGAAGTTGTTATAGAGCTCAGGATTTTTGAGAGCTTTCCTCACCTAGACAGGAATAGAAAGAAAATAACATGTTCCAAGGTTTATGCAGGAAGAACATAAAGATACATTTAAAAGTGTCACATTCCAGGGCAGTGAAATTATACTGTGTTATGAAAGCAAGTATTCAATCCATTTAAATACCTTTTCAAAAAATGCAAATTCAGAAAAGGTGCCATGTTTCTGTGCTTCATCCAGAGGCACATCTTTGATAGCACTTCTTGATTTCTTCTGCTGAAAGGACAAAATCAGTACAAAAATAAATACGTGATGCCAATCCACATTACTTTTTTTGTGTTGTTTGCTGTTGATTACCTTGAATAATTAACCATTACCAAAACCTCCTGTCCAGCACCACTTTTAAGTTGGCATAATTATCATGTTTTAAAGAAAAAAACACTGTTGGCTATCATGTTTCACAGCAGCCAATCACCACAACCAAAAAAACACACAGACAAACAAACAAACAAAATCAAGTCGCTTGAATTATTATGAAAAAGATTATACAAACTACTCCTACCTTTGCCTGAGGGTGTGTTGGGGAAGAGGAGACACTGTTTGAATTTCTTCTGATCTGGTGTATCATACGCTTTGAAGAATTTGACCCACCTGTAAAAACAAGGGACATTTTTCAATGAATTGTTCTGTCTTGGGCCCCTACCCATATCATACAACTTTGTCTAAAAAATTCTTCATGCAAATGAACATTTTCAGACATACCTGCAAGAAGAAATATCAATCACAGCAATACTCCTTTTAAGCAAGAGGACACACTACATATTTTTACCACTGGATGATAACTTACCAGCTGGCTTCTTTGTGGGAGGTACATACTCATTCCTTGCAGCTGTCAGGTGAGCTGGCAACCTGTTTGCTGCTAATAAACCCTAAAAAACAAACCATGAAACAACATTTACAGCTGTTAATTCACACTTAATAATGAATATGTGACCAATATTCACAAACTGTGGAACCTCTCTTACATGTATGTGTCAATGAGACCCTTCTGTGTAAGACACAAGGTTTGGTCCCAGCTACAAATAAGTTCCTAAAGCTTTGAATATGGCTTTATGTCACTGCAATGCATAATGGAAGTTCCACAGAAGACAACGTAGTATTTCATGCGGCAAAAGTTCTCTTAACTTTGATACAAGGCAAAGGATGACAGTCTGGCAGATATCATGTCCGAGTGAATATTTCTGATGAATGGTCCAATACACAAATAACTCTCAAAAAGGATAGCTATTTATAATCAGAAAAGAAACATATAGCAAGACATGTAACCAACCCCAGACATTGCAGCGCCATTGGCATCAGGAAGAAACTGGCTGAATTCTTGAAGCAAATCTTCTTGATTTTGAAAAAGCTTGGCAACTTGGTGATACACCTGTGGATGTGAAAATAATGAAGTGAGAAACGAATGATGCAAGCACCTAAATGAAAAAAAAAACTGTGATAAGTTTAAACCTCATTCTACCCATTACAATAACAGTAAAGGCAATTCCAATTCAAAAACAAATGGAAGTTTTTAAACAATATAAATATAACTATACTGTACCTCACTAGCAAGTTTTGCTTCTCTTGTGTAGATCTAACCAAGAATATAAGTACTGTTAGATACACAAAAATTAATAACACTGAAATGAAATAAGAACTTAAATTGTCCAGGAAGCTGAAATTGCATGGACTTACCTCTTGTTCAGATAGAGGAGTTCCTTGCATGGCAGCCTGCAAATTTGATTCAAGAACAAAATTCAATTAGAAAAGAAAAAAGCAAAAACAATGCCACATACTACTTTCAAAAAAGTAAAATAATCAACTGATGTCCAATGCAGAGCATCAAATGTACAAGTCTGGTCTTTTTGTCTCCATCAACAAAAGTACTCCATGCAACATACAGCAAATTGCTTCTGTAACCTGACCAACTGGCTTTTCCTCTAGCATGTCCCAACCTTTTAAGTTTTGCAGCCAAACAAGAGCCTAACTTGTGAGCTGCACAAAATGTGGCAAAGCACCAGTTACTTAAACTGAATGCCATTTTACCTCTTTTATGTTTTTCTGTTCCTTTTGATATGTGTGAAGAATTTCCAAAAAGGCCTTGTAGATATCTGGCTGTCCTTGAAACCGGTTCTATTGCAAAAGAAACAGATTTTTGTCAATAATCTGAAGAAATTACTTGCACCATACTTCAAAAAAGGGAGAAGTCTTCACCTTTATTTTATTCACATAATTTATGGCATGGTTAAATTCCACTGGTTGCTGACCCTGAGTTATAAAAAGAAAAAAATTCAGCAAGAAGCTATTTACACTGTAATGATAAATGTATTGAAAAATTATTACCTCAAAGTCTAAGTTTTTATTATGAGCTTTGTGTTACTGTAGTCACAGGTAAACCATTGTTGCATTTAAAACTCTGAAAGCTTACTGGGTTATCTCAAAGAAAATGCTGAAGGTCAATTCTATTTAAAGTCCCTATGACACCTATTTTTCTTAGCATTAAATTATAAAAATAGAAGTATGTAGAGGGTGTCTGGTAAGATTTGTGGGCAATTCTAATGTGTCTGTTATTTTACGAGGCGATAAAATCCAAAATTGTATCGAACTTAGGCTCCCCGTATCTCTTTGGCTGAGTTAAAGAGTACTGGAACCCGTGGCGTAACGGTAGTAACGCCAAGTTTATCAAAGAAGCAAAGTGAGCGTGGAAGCTACTGTTTACAATCTTTTTAGCCAAAAAATGCCCTTTCAATATGTAGTTTGGGGTTTTTCGAATACCCCTGACTCGTTGAAGAATATTTCTCTCCACAAGATTCCCAGTCCCTCTTTTCTCTGCCAGACATTTTATCTGTAGATTATAGAGCTTGATAAAAAATTCAGAAAGGGGCAAAATACCACAAATGTTGCAAAAATATAAAGTACTAAGCTGTTTACATAAGTGTGTCTGTGACAGCAGTAATGTACCTGTCCTTGTTGAGCTGTTGGTGACTGGAGAGGCTGCTGATGTTGCTGCTGCTGCTGCTGTTGCTGCTGCTTCTGCTGTGACTGCTGCTGTTGTTGTCCTTGTTGTGCACCTGACTGATGTACCTGTAATAAAACAAACATCAATGTTTAGAAGGACTAGCTACTGCACTTATCTGTCCTGTGGCCCAATACGTATATCGTGAACCATGCAAGGTTAAAGGTACTCCGAACAACATGTTGCTTTTCAAAAACTTGTCAATGAATGTTTGATGAATGAAAAGAGTTGAATACCAACTGAAAGTTAATTTCAAATAATTCTGAACCCATTTGGAGGAAAAATGTGTTACTGGCCAAGTCTAAGGTATGCATTCCTGACCCAGCCAGATGGGCCTTGTTTACGTAGCCAATCAAGTCAAATTATTTCATTCACCTGGTACCCCTTGGAGAGCCAGCCATACAACAACAATGCATTAATCTCAGGTACAACCCTTTCACAAAATGCCTCACCTCAATAGACTTCTCCTATCATTCTGAAATAAAATGCAAACCCAGAAACATGCTTCTCTTATTTTGAAATAAAACAAAACCCCAGCAATCTCACTTACTGGTTGCTGAGCTGGTTGGATGAGTGTGGTGATCTGAGACTGTCCATTGGGTGCTGTCACTGACACAAGGCCAGGATCACTAGCATGAACCTCAATCTTGTACCCAGGTGGAAGGAATGTATTGAACCCTACAATTAGTTCTGGATGTCCCTTGAACAGAGATGAGACACGGCTGATAACACCTGGTGTATCAATACTGGGGAGAAAAAAAAAAAAGAGAAAAAAAATCATGGATGGAATCACTATTTATCAAAAGTTACAAAGTTTTTACTGGACCATTAATCCTTTGACCCCTCCCCTCGGGTATCTTAATTCTCCTTACACAGCCCTCAATCAAACTTTAAGACTTTGATTGTTTGAAAAGTTCTCCTTGTCAGCACCTTAGAAAATGTACTGATAACAGTATGGAGAATATGTAGACTGACATCACTGTGTAAAGCATTACCATTTGCACACTTTTGACTGCATTATGAGCACTCCAAGGTATGACCATTTTGGTCAACATAGCGAGTAAAAAACGATAAGCAACACAAAAAGCAAAGAAAGTTCCCAGTTCAGCAGTCATACAGCAACAAGGCTCGACACTAACGGTAGCCCACTAGCCACAGACTAGTAGAAATTCAGTTTTGGCTAGTGGTTTTCAATTTCCACAAGCCAGTTTGGCTAGTAAACAAAGGGAAACTAGCCACTTGGCTAGTAAGTTGAAAAGTTAGTGTCGAGCCCTGCAGCAAGCCATACTTTTCTTTAATTTTTGATATCTATGAAATAAAGTTCTGATCAAAAAGCCTGGTTCCTCATAGATAGGTGTAGTTTCCTCCTTCCAACACCATTGTCTGAGTAGTTTTGTTTTGCCTACCACAGCATAGTCGCTAAAAAGCATTCTCCAAATGGTGACTTGAAGAGATGTTGGGCTTAAAGCTCCAAGCATCACTACACAAGCAAACAAAAATAAGTAGTGTTAACAGCAAATATATACACAATACCTTTGGGATTTAAACTCTTTCATAATATCTAAGAAGTCATTATACACTTGAGGCTGGTTCCCAAACTGAAGTTTGACTTGATCTAAGTACGACAAGGCATCCTCAACCTTAAAAAAGATCAAAAATCAAAACAAAACTTCAATACCTAAGTCGTTTCAGCATCTTAAATAGCATGGTGTTAGACTTAATAACATGTAAACTTTACAGTTGCTGTTGAAAGGCACAGTACTTAACCTGAAAGGTAGTACAACTAAATATAGAGGGAAACTTGAAAAATTCTGCAGAGGCAATGGAGGTGCTACAGCTACAAGTGAAAATCCACAAAAGTTTTCAATCTATTATTTGCATAAATCATTTGAAACACTATTGCTGGGAAAGTCACTTTTTTACTTAAACGAATCTTTATTATCTGTCCTCAAAGTTAAAACTGCTGCAATGGTTAAACCAGATAACACCCTGTGCACATGTCACAAACAAGGAAGAGGCAAGGGAAAATTGAATAAAAATTGTACACAGGGGTTTCATTAAGGGCGGGGCACTCACAAAATTGACCAGTTGTGAGGATGGTTTTGCCCAATTGGTTCTACAATCTGGAGGAAAGTTTATCTTAAAAGAAGTTCAGTTCAATTATGTTGCCCGCCTGTGAAAACTAGTTGCCCTTCTGCTGAAAACATTAATGAAACCACTGTATGCATGTAGCCAATAACACTGGACAGCAAATGAGACAGACCTTCATAAAAATATCATGCAGCATTTGCTTTATAATCATATTACATATATCATTTATAATCAAAATGAGCATTTTTAATAATGTTAAAAAAAAACAATAGTTGTTTTATGCCACACCTTTAATCGTTGAAACTGTTGTTGTTGTTGACCTTGAGCTTGTGCGTGCACCTGAACTTGGCCCTGAAAAAGAATTAACACCATTAATGAGTTATTTTTTATCTAACTTGATGTCCACTGTTCAGTGTTGTCATTAGGAGCCAGTGGGTGGCGGAAACCTGCTCGCTGTCAGGCCATTTTGCACTGCCTCCTTTGTGACCAGAAATTTTGTAATATTGAGATTTGTCTTTCCAAGAAAACTGTTTTTGGAAATCCAAGGCTTACTTTAGTGATCATTCTTTTGTATATATCTGATGTCATGGAAGAAGGAAAAAACTAAAAACCTGTACAGGAACTTCTGTGCAAAAGCTATAAGTGGTGTTGACAGTTTACTGGAGTAATATAAATGCATGACCGTCATGAAGCACAAAAGCATCGCAATTCACATGTGCATTGATGTTTCGAAAATCAAAAATGATGGCCTGCGAAGAAAGCGATCTCTTCGCGATTCCTTGTCAAGTCAATCGAAGAAGACAAAATCTAGCAAAAAAGTGAGCCACCACAATAAGAGGTAGTTTCAATCGCTATCAAATATTATAATTACGAAGCTCCTGAAGCATTTAATACCATAGATAAACTGGCCTCATTTGTTAAAATACAGTGGAAAATTATTGCTGATCCACTACATACTTTCAAAAGAGCTTTCAGAGGGTTGGAGAGGTAAGTGTCTATAAAGATCTTTTTCACCTTGCTGAAAGTTGTGTCCATTCAACTCTTAAGATTTCAAAGGCAGGAAGATTTTACTCTGTCATAAACATGTAGCGTTAGATAATTTAACTTCTCATAGGAAGATGTTCTTTCTAGTTCAGGACAGACAGACTTTAACTGCTTTTGTAGAATCGCAGAATAGAACATAATTTACGTTATTCAACAGAGACATTACAACAGTTTTGAAGGAAAATTTTGTTCTTTTGTTTACAATTTCAACAGAGACATGCAAAGTTCTGCGATTTAAAATGTCGTTCCAACCATACACATGGCTGTCAAAGTTGCCGCAAGATTGTTTTTTTTAAAGGATTTTGCAACGTTAGAAATGCTCACCAAATATGGACCTTTTGGAATACTTGTCATCAAACCCCTCAGTCAATCCTAATTAAAAAATAAAGGCCAAGTGTTCCGTGATTTTGCAAACCTTGCGGCATTTGGCGGGTGATTTCCAGATGTTTATCAGTTGTGATGTTTAGAGATGAGAGGAAATACTTTGATGAATGAAACATACCCTTATTTGAAATAGAAACGTGAAGCTTGCGTCCAGAGGGTTTTTATAGCAAAAAAACAGGGAAATTGAATTTAACATCAATGTCTAAAAATGCTACTCAAACATGCCCCAGAATGCTGGAAAACGCATCTCAGAAAGTTTCAAATTTCAAATTTTTCCAGAACATGCCCCCAGACCCCCCTAGAGGAGTGTGTTGCGCAGCCACCTACTCCATTCAGATCAGACGCCTATTACATTTTCTAGTGACAACCCTGCACTGTTGGCAAGGTAACATATATACTTTCCATAGTCAGGAAAGCTCCTTTGCAGTCCCAGAACTCTCAATTTTTTTTCATTACAGAGTAAATTCTGGATCCCACAAAATGTGAATGAATTTATTTAAGCTAGCATGATGAAAAAGTCTCCTAGTATAATAACTCCAAAGAAAAACTAGGACATAAGCAACAACATTGGTTGAATTTTCCCTAAGGGGCCACTTTCACTTATATGATGCCCTGTGACTCTGCCACTACAATCACAGATAGTTTCTCTTTGAAGGTATCACAGAAGGGTAAAATGGAAAACAGTAGCAGGCATGAAATGTCACATGAACAAAATTGCAGCACACACAACCATTCCAGTTCAAAAAAGCAGGCATATTCATTTATTCTCACACTAACACTTTAAAGCCATTTGAGTCAAAACAATTAAACTCCAATTCATTTAAATAACAGCAGATTTCTCTACTGGAAAACAATTTTTTTCTTTTCATTTCAGATGAAACAAACTGTCAACAATACATGCACATCAACTTTGTAAAGACAATTTCAACTGAAAAAAACCTACAAAAATCCAAAGTAAATCAAGAACAGCAGTGACGACAGCAATAAATAACAACAGAAGGCACAGCTCTACATGTAACTCACTTGGTGATGACCAGATGCTGGATTTTGAACATGAGGATGTGACTGGGGAGTCTGTGCCTGAACTCTGAAAAATCAAAGCAGTTTTATCAAACTTCCCTTATGCTTAAAAAGCAAGGTAAACCCTCAACCAAGTCTTTCAAATCACATTAATGACTGGTGGTACTTTGGGCTCATTTGACATATTTGCTCATTTAACAATCCCACACGCTAAAACAAATTGTGTCCTAACATCATTATTTTGATCCTCAAAATCTTGCCATTCACCACATTGAGCAAATCAAATTTTGTCAGGGCTGACAGCATGATAATGAAAAGTTTAGATTTAAAAAGGACACTTTAACAACTGGTCCTTGGGGAAAGTCTGCACAGTCATTACACTACCAAGTAGGTTGTGCATCAGAAAGCAGAGATTGGAGGTTCCATCTGCAATATTTTGAATCAAAGTAACCACTTAACATGTCCAAATGAAATTGTATAGGATCTAAGGTCACTCTCTGACCAAACTGCAATGAAAACACTTACTGGAATCCAGGAGCACCTGCCATCTGTGCAGCTGCAGGGAACTGCGCTAACCCACTTAATCCATCTTGCTGGAGCTGCTCCGAATAGGTTGTCATGCCGACTGGGGCTGGGGCAAGAACAGGAGGGGGACGGAAACTCTGCCTGTTTTGACCATATGCACTGTCGTGGTCTTCAGGACGCACCCTCTTCATGTCTTGCACCACAGCCTCATTCAAGCAGTCTTCTCTAGCTCAAGCCTGATACCTAGGAAAACAAAAAGATGATACTGTAAAGTACAAAAATAAACTTATTTCCTTATAGACACTCTTTCTCCTATTTATTACTTCTTATTTCAACACAGCAACAAACTGACCCCAATCTTGTTAATTGGTCTTGGAAAATAACATCCAAAATCAACAAATGTTAATTTTTTTGAGCCTGCAGTCTAAAGGACATATGTCACCTGAGGTCCACGATCTAGCACCTCACAAATAACATATTGCAAAGTTAACTAAAATTTATCTTTTTTCAAGTAACTGTGACACTGGCACTGGATAGACTTGTGATTCCAAGATAAACTTGTGAAAGTCACTGCCATCACCCTCAGATTCCACCTTGTAACTGTGCACACACAAGCATGTTATTAAACATTTTTACAGCACCTACTGTCACATACAAAAATCAGAAATACCAACTAATTTTACAGTAAGTAGTTGAAGAGACTAAAAACCAAAAATAGACAAAGAGGTTGTTGCAGTAATTATCTCTGTCAATTTGTGGAAGTAATCAAACATGTACCATACAGCCGAGCAGTGTAGATAGATATACAATTGAAGATAAAATTCTTAGATCTTCATTTGATAAGAACGTTTACAAATTGCATCACCTCCTCAACACAAAGAAATCACATAAAAAATTTCACCATAAATTTATCCATGTTAAGCTCCGATTAAAAAAAATCTCTGAACGGTTTACAGCAAACTCATCAATCCTCGTGAAACCCATAGGTTGATTTCTTCTCGCCAAGAATCACCGTGTTACACAATTACAAAACCCAACATTTCGTTGTATCGCTAACAACGATCTTTCTAAAAAAAAATAAGTGTCTCAACTAAGGATGTTAATCACAGTGTCTTCGGCAAACCAATGTTATGACACTGCTCAAGGCGAAGTGTAAACTTTATTTACAACAGATCATGACGACATATCAATTCGACGAAAACAATTGGTTCTGATAACCGAACGCCTAAATCAAAACAAGAAGTATACACAGGCTTGTTGAAGCGATCTCGCTTCTCGAGCCATATAGAGCACGAAAGCAAAGGCTTTTCTCCAGTCACATAACGAAGAAGAACGAAGAAGAACGAACAATGAATAAGGCTACCAATTCTTTTCATCAAATGTTCAGTGTAAATACACTAGTAATTGGGCTATGCGATGGTGGTAAGCAAGATTTCTACAACGAAAAGGCGAGTGACAATAGATCTTCGAAATGAATCAAAGAACATAACAAGCATTCTCACGACGTGAACAATATCAATAGGCATAAGAAGACAAAGTCTTGAAAATAGTGGAAAATTAGTTGACACGAGTGAAAACTTACCCCGTCGTACACCCGCACAGGATTTCAACTTCCGACTGAGGAAACTCGAGATTTTAACACAGAAGACAACACAAAACCAGAGAAAAATAATGGATGGAAAAGCGTTCTTCCTCGGCAAGTATGACATAGCAACACAAGCTTTTAGTGATCGTTCAAGTAACGTACTATGCTGATTACGTCGGCGCGAAACTACAAATCCACAATATGCACCACGACAGGAAATGGAATTCAGAGCTTCAACAAGATCAGGGTCCTTGCAATTTTCTTTGCATTTTTAAGTGTTTTGAAGGCAAAAAAATTGCAAAACCAAGGCTATTATAACTTCCTGAATGAATATAAGAGGCAAACATATTACTGCTGTCACGATACAACGCAAAATGAACCGAAATTCTTTTCCATCCATGTAATAAATATACAGCACACTCCCACACGTCCAAGTCGTAAACATTGATGTTTGTGCCCTCTTGGTAAAAGTTCTTTCACCTAGGTAGGTCTTAAATTGGATGCATGTGTTCTCCTTCAGTCGGACAAAAGGTGGAAAACGACAAAAATCAGTTTATGGGCTGTCATCATCCACAAACTGTCATACACAGACACAATAACAGAGTATCGAACGGTAAACGACATCGTCCTAGAGCTCTAACTAAGTTCATGATCAAAATATAGCCCTAAAACTTACAGTGAATAGTATCCCTGGCCCTGACGAAGATATCGTTCCTTCCTGACCCAAGGATGGTGAATATTTTTGAAGATTCTGCAGAAGGATATTCGATAAAAAATATTCCCTTGATTTTGCTAAAGCTCGCAAGCGAACAGTCCGCGAGCGGTTGACGTCACGCACTCTAGAAGAGAAGCCAATCAGATAATGTTATTTTGGATTCAAAATATTCCCGCCGATGTGACATGTGACTTTCAATGGCCCACCCCCTTTTGCCCTTTTTGGGCACTTCCGGTTATTTGCTTCCTGTTTATCTCCACCTCTATTTCCACTTCCTCTAGCGCGACTAGAAATATCGTTTTCACACGACCTATTATGACAGCTTTTTACCTTTCAGAGTACCAAGGCATTCATGGTTATTTTTTCTGCTAAAAGATTTCCACACAGTTGAAGAGTGCACTACTTTAGACTCAGGAATGACCCTATCATGGAGTGGTAGAAAACCCAGTGTCTAATCACAGGTCTAGTGCTGAGATGATTGCTCTCAAATAACCACTGATGGACACAGGGCAAACTGAGATCTGTTTTTTTTACGTTCTTTAAATCCCTCACCACCAGTTAAATCAGGAAAATCCCTGCAACGTTTCAAAATTAATTGTGCATTGCACTGTGTTTGGGAAAGAAAACTATCTGAAACACTTTGGGTGGGGTCAGCCCACCTTTGGGTGACTCATCAAAATCATACTTATCCAGGGCATCAACATCATTTGATCATTCTAATATGGTGATACATCTCACATCAATATATGTTATTCACCAGTCGGGAGGTCCGTATTGGGAAAAACTGTGCCCGAGGTCTTGGATACCGCCCGAGGCCGTAGGCCGTAGGCCTCGGGCGGTACTCAAAACAGAACAGACTAAAAGAGTCAGTGAGACTCTTTCCAGCTAGACACAAGGGGATTTAATGCGACTTTTATTCATCAAATTCCTCCGGTTTCTGATGAGAAATTTACGGTAGAAATGTCTAAATTCAAGGGATTTTCAAGAATTGGCGAAAGTGTATTTATAGAAGAACTCAACTTCGCTTAACGTTTCACAAACGAACAAATTGTGTTGAAGAATTCAGATATTAACGAATGACAGTCACATTGATTAACGTAATTGTTTGCTGCAACCACCTCTCGTTGTAACTTTCTGAGTTACTCTTTGTGAAGGATTAAATAAAAAATTGTTTTTAGGCCACGTTTCAATCGTTTTAAAAACAAATTTAGTACCACCAAATTTAATTGGAAATCAATTTTTGCAGAGAAACCCTAGTGATTTGAGAGCGAGAGAGAAGAAAGATTGAATATTATTTATCGCCAAAAGGTCGTGACCGAAGTCTTTGCTCAAAAAAATTCGGCCCGGCCGGCAAAATGAGGCATATTTGTGAAAACCTCCAACGAAGCTTGAAATGCTCTGCAAAGTGACTCGAGCGAAACGGATACCGCCCGCTATGAGCGGGCCGGATGGGGAGAATACTGCCCTATCTCGGAACCAATCAGATTGCAGGATTAGTAGAATACCGCCCGCTCACGAACTGAGAAAAAAATAATACAACTTATTGTTAAATAATTCAAAGCCCTATTCAGACAGTGACCATGGTGATTTTTCACATTTTTCCTAAACCACATTAGTGAACTGATTGTTCAACAATTGGTGGATTTAGTCGAACATCAGTTACCTTACTCTTTTATCTTGGATTTGTCAACTTCAAATCTAAACCCATTGCCTTCCAGCTTTTGCTGTGCAAATAATCCATTAATGTTCATGCGTTGAAGTTTTGACTGGTCTCCATTGCAGTTGATTTTTTAGATATCATGCAACAATCCTTTCCCTTCCCCCCCCTAAAAAAAAATAAAAAATTAACGAAAGTATTAATAGCCACATTTCAAAACATAGCTGCAAAGGAGACCCAAGAAAGAAGGTAAGTCATAAATTCTGAATGTAACCATAATTACTTAGTCTAAATTTCTGACTTTTTCTGTAAACTGGAAAAGCACATAAACTTAGAGTGAAGTTTTAGTTAGGAATGACTCCAACCTCCTTCCCTCCCCCCCTTCCCCCCCCCCCGAAAAAAAGAGAACAAAACAAAACAAGCAAGGAAAGAAAGTTATGCAAAACCCAAATATTAGAGCCTTGGTTTTTAAAATTTCACTACGCCTACATATCTAATGTGATATTCTAAGTTACACTTTATTCATTTGTCTCCTGTACAACTTCATGATAACATGATACAGTTAATAATTAGAACAAGTGATAAGTTAGAAAATCCAGCTTAATAAAACAGTGACAGTTTTATGATCACTTCTAATGTTCCAGTGTGTAGCTCAGTAATATTTAGAAACCAAGCATGCAGTTTTCTTTCTCTTTTTTCTCCTGTTCTCAAACTCTCTATAATTACAACACAATGCAAAAAGCATGTACCTCCCTAGCCTTCTTCTCACAGCATTTGTCTGACAAGTGCTTCGGCGTGAAACTCAGAGTAACAGAGAATCGATGCGTCCTCTTTGATTCTTCAACTAATGTATACCCAGCTCTGCTAACACAGCATTGAGCAGCAATGACAGTTAGGGTCATATCATGGAAGTTTTAATTGAACAACACAGTTTTGATTCTTTCTAACCTTCTAGTTTGCATCAACATTATTCAATCCTGTCAAAATCAACTCTCTTTAATCGGTGTAAATAATTGGGTCTTTATTTTGCAAAACGACAGATTTGACCTGGATACCACAATTTTCAATACCCAACACTTTATGAACTAACAGATCAATGACTGCTGCTAATAGAATCAGAAATTAAAAAATGTGATTCCATGAAAAATAATTAAATGCCCAGCTGTCCACACAGATGTGACAGGAAATAATATTTCCCACAACCTGGTCACAATTCAAGATAACAAATATCAGACTCGAGAAATAACTCTAGGTATGATCATTCACCTAATCATCTTTCAAATTTTGACTTGGACCGGTGTTTCTGCTTCAAAAAGGTCATTTTAAATATGAAAAAAATGCAGGAGTCGGTCTCAGAGAATCATCTCTGAATACAAACAATAATTTCAGACTACTATTTCTGCAATGACCTGAGTTGCATAGATTAAAAATGTCCAGCACATACAAGCTAAACCATGCATGTCTGTGCAAGGATTATTTCACTTCTATAATCTTTCTTTCAACTTCTATCCATTTTTTTTTTATTTGTACATGTTATTTGGAGAGAGTTATTGACTGGTAAACCACTGAGAGGTCTAAGCTAAGAGTAAACCCCACAAGATATCTTTAGGGGTCTTTATGGGTATAAATTAACTTTGTCCTCCTAACTTTACCGCAACAAAGCAATATATGCTTACATCCTTAAACTTGTCCACTTTACTAGAAAGTAAATAACCATTAAAATAATACCCTGGGAAAATAAATTATCATAATTTATCCATTTTCACTCTTCCTTTTCTTCTCTCAATTTCTTTTCTGCATAAATGTTCTCAGTAAAAGGCCTGAATGAATAAAAACAAAAACAAAAAACAAATATTAAGTCTCATCTACGAAAAACTAAACCCTTGGTTATTCACTAGGCAAAGGAGATCAGAGAATTCTTTAACGGCTACAAAAACTGACTTACTGGCTAAATTTTGATTTTCCGGCTGAGCTACATATATTTCAGTCAGACATGAGGAACATCCTCTAGTTATTTTACACAGTTATTCTGGCTATATGTCCACAAGAAAATCAGTCACAGAAGATCAAGAATAGTAAAAATGTCATTTTAACATGTCCTTGAACTCTCATCAATGAAACAAAAGCTGAGAGTACCAGGAATGGGGAGGTTAGTTCAGCACCAGGACCCAGTTGTTCAAAGAGTGGATAACACTATATCCAATGGATAAATCACTCTCCAGCAGATAAATGTAAAAGAACGTACTGTGCCATCCAAAGGATAGAGATTTATTCAGTGTATAGCATTATTATTGACCCTTTGAACAACTGGATCCAGAAGAAGTACACTTGGTTTAACTTATAGTGAGTCAAACATGCCAGATTGTTTATTGATGCCAGAACTTATCCTATAATTTATGCACCTGAACATAGGATAGCTGTACCTTCCTTCTCTCCCCAAAAATATTCCATCTTTTCTTTTTCCAGGGAGAGGTAGGGGGTGGGACTAGACACCTTGCTGTTCTTCTGTTCTGCCATTTGCATCAAGTTTACCAGACACAACACAATTGACCAAACTACAACTCACTCCAAGGCCTTACAGTGAAATTACCAGTAAAAAGGAAATCATAGATATTCTGGATGTCGAGTTACACCATCAATTTACTGTTAAGCATGTTTCTATAAAAAAAAAGAGACATACCCTTCAAATAATAAAGCTATCTTGTAACAAATGGCAACTAATGTAGTTAAGAGTACACCTGCTGGGCTGCACTGTCTATCAAAACAAGAAGAGAACATTTAATAATCCTTCACATGATAAAAAAAAAAATTATAGTAAAATTAATCAAATTAACAAATTTTACCTGAGGTAAAGGGGAATAAAAGATTTATCAGAGAAAACCTAATTTTGCACAACTCTACAAAATCAGAATTGCTTTCTTTAATTAGAAAAGATAGATTCCATTGATTTCATTTGAAACAGAAAAAAGTGATTTGTAATGTTGCAATCACCAAGAGAAAATTGACCAACTTATCTCCTTAAGGTTGATATCATGATGTACCACCAAATTCTCTCCACCACTCCTTAAGGAACTGTATTGGAGTGAAAGGGTGGACTTTAAGTCCAGATGTTAGGAGATACCAGATAATAAAAATGGTCACCAGGAGAGAATCCACTGAATTTAGTACATTAAGAAATTATTGCATGTTGTCATTGGTTTATCGTCATATCTTTATGTCATTACAATTTTTACCTTAATGAATATCCCAAGAAGTTCAAAGTTGATCCCCAGTACATTGGGTTGTTCATGATATTGAATGGGAAATTTGTGACTCTCTTGTTTAACAATAAACCAAAATAATCCCCTGCAAAGAATGTAGTTGTGCATTTAAGAAAAGTTGTAAAAGATACAAGATACTTTTGGGGTAAATTTCTTTTCAAATTAATTCTTCAGGTTGAGTGGATTTAATATGATGTTTATAGCAGGTACATAACATTGTTGGTAAAAGAACCTAACCAGTATCTCAGAGGTAAAGGTTGAGCCACATACAATCTTATTTTATCATTTCAGTGTTCAGGGTGAGATTATTCTATTTCAAACTGACATTTAATACACACCTCTTACTAATGGAGTTTGGGGTCTGTAGTTCAAGTTGCAGCCTAAACCATGCAGGCCATACGATTTAATCAGAGCAGAAAAAAATATGGTTGTGTAACTTATGGTACGGACCATGAAAACAAGGTTGCAGTCATAGTAAGATATTTATCATATCACTGGATTTAAATATAGGGAGAAGATTTTGAAATAAACAGGTTATACAGTGAAATACAGCTCTCTAAATTTATCAATCATTGTGCACATGCTAACTGAGAGATATAATAAAATCACTCGAACAGATAATCATTAAAATCCAATAACTGAACCTAGAAATGTTCCTGTGATGCCCAGTGACCATGTACTACTCAGGACAAGAACTGTTCCAATTGCAATAAGGAGAGTACCACAAATACGAACATTCTCAGTACACATGGCTAATGCAATAGGCTGGCCTGAGATGGCCTCTTCAAATCTGTAAAATATCATTCAAAGTCATGCTGAATAATTTCTAAATTTCCATTTTAAATCATAATTTAATTTTTTTTTTCCACATAGTAAAAAAGATCTCAAAAAAAAACAACAAATTGCAAAGTCATACAAAACAGCTTACCAGTTATAACTGTAAACAGGTGTTTATTAATTAATTTCCGGAGTGTTTTTTAATTTCAGGAATGAAAAATTCAACGATTATTTGTCGTAATGTCCTGAAATTAAGATTATTAAATCGCAAAGGGCTTCACTTACAATTATTAGTCGCAAAGAGTGTACTATTGCGATTAATAACCGGGGAAAGTACGGCTATTAATCGTGACTGCATCATTAATAGTCCTGTTTGACGAGCTTTTAGACTAATAATCGTGCATCGTACGGTTAATAATCGCATCTGACAGCAAATGTCATTATTAATCGTACTCCTCTCTAGAGAAAGTTCAACCAGAAATTTTTTTTGGATGGCCACCATTACGACCAAAAATTCAGAAGTTAGTACTTTTTCACACATGGCTTTTCAAGCAATAAATGTCACACATTTGTAGTCTTCTTCTTTGTAGTCGGCGACAGAAACATTCATTTTAGGTACAAATTCATACAAGGTAATCACATAAACTGGTAAAGAAACGTCCATTTGCTCTGTTTTCAAGTAGCTGCAGATTCAAACCTTTCTTAAACTGAGGGAGAGCCATAAAAAATGATTCAATCAACCAGCCACGATGAAAGATGGTTTATGAAATGCACTGTACACTGATCAGATCAATCCAAGCGGTATGCAAAGTTATAGGCGACAATTAGAGAGATTGATGGTATATGTAAAGCTTTTCTTCGTATACAATTGTCAGCTGAAAAACTGTGACTTTTTCCCGCGAAAATAACTTGAAAAGGTTTCGGCACGGTATTACAAAGAGCCAACTTGAAGAGTTCTTTTGCCTATGGCGAATGAATATGAAAGAATACTCTAAAATCCCTGTGAGTGTTTTTAGAATGTTTCCGTCGCCGACACAACGTGTTTGGGCTGAAACAAATATAACATTGATTAATATTAATTTTTTCTTTTTCATCCGGAGCAGGTGCATGACGCAAGCTTCAAAATTCCTACAAATTGAATTTTGACCGCGGAAAAAAAAAACTTTCGATAAGAACCCATTGTACACATAAATATTACCTTAATTCATCTCTCAGAAATATGCTAATCGAATAAAAGAAGTTTCCGAAAAAAAACCCATGCGACGTAATGAGTTTTGATCTAAATGATGCGTATCTAAATATAATCGCATCGGTAGCACAAGTCGACAGCCGCGCACTGTTTTTCTGATTTGTTTGTCAGTTTGTATGCCTAAAATGAAAGAGTGTAAAACAGTTATTATTTGAGATAAACGAAGAAAGGCCATTCTTGTTGTTACTTGTCTGTCATTCAGTTTCGGGTGAAAAACGACTATTTAACCGCTAGATAAGCATCAGAATTGAAAAGAATAGAAAAAGACATCTTACCGAACCGGCGTGACATTTGCCAAATCTTGCTGGGGTGGGTTTCGCTCAAAATATCGAAAATAGTTTTTCCATTCTGGAACAGCGTTTTCCCCATTGCTGTTGAACGACCCATTTCGAAACACATTAGCTCTGGAAAGAACTAGTCCTGCGGGATGGAGAAATGAACCCGCGACTCAAATTAATCTTTCCTCTTTGTTTAAGAAAAATGCAAACGCATCTCGTTTGATTAAACAAGAAAATAAAATAAAATAAATAAAAAAAGAAAAGAAATATATAATCGGTGTAGGGAAATCAGTGAAACGTTTTTCTTTTTTTAGGATTGAGTCTGGAAATTTCTGATTCAGAAAGCCGGGAATAGCGGAGTGCCATGCAAGTTATCCACACCTGAAATAATTGTATCACATCGATCACTGCCGCGGGTTTCATCTGTCGCTTGCTCATAAACATACCTTTCAACTTCGCAAAAGGCCGTTTTTGGGATTCGGCATTTGTCATAATTTGACCTATTTGGCTCTTCATTTGCAACTGTATTCGGTTAAACTTAAATCTACTTAAAACCTGTCCGAAATTAACGTATTTACTTACATTCTAGGTCATCGAGAAGAAACGTTGGTCAACTCTCTCACGATATCGAAAGCCCGTGCTGAACTTCGTCGAAGGACAAAAGAAAAGAAAACATCGTTGGTAAATACACTTTTTAAACAGAAATGAAGTTCACTGAGAACTTCAACCCAAGAAGACTTCAAATGTGTGACATTTATTGCTTGAAAAGCCATGTGTGAAAAAGTACTAACTTCTGAAGTTTTAGTCGTAATGGCGGCTGCCCAAAAAAAAATTTCTGGTTGAACTTTCTCTAGAGAGGAGTACGATTAATAATGACATTTGCTGTCAGATGCGATTATTAACCGTACGATGCACGATTATTAGTCTAAAAGCTTGTCAAACACGACTATTAATGATGCAGTCATGATTAATAGCCGTACTTTCCACCATTATTAATCGCAATAGTACACTCTTTGCGACTAATAATCGTAAGTGAAGCCCTTCCCGATTAATAATCTTAATTTCTGGACCTTACGACAAATAATTGTTGAATTTTTCATTCCTGAAATTAAAAAACACTCCAGAAATTAATAAACACCTGTTTGAGTAATAAATGACTGTAAATATCTAATATTTGAAAACCACTGACATATGTGAACTGCAGAATTAAGAAATGAATTTGAAAGTGATCTTTGAATAGGACCTGAAAAAATTTGGGACTGTATGAACATGACCAGCTCTCAGTTAGCTCAGTTCGTAGAGCACTTCACCAGTATTGTAGAGGTCATGGATTCAAATCCCATACAGACCTGAATTTTTTCAGGTCTTATATTGACTACTGCTAAATATAAATTATAGTAATGTTCATTACCACAAAGATCGCTTTCATATTTATAACTGTGAGGTTACTCATTTGAATAAGGTAGGTTTGTAGAGCAAAACAACTTGTAATCCAAGGTCTGCACATTGAAACTCATGACAGATAGATTAAACAGATACTTACCGGTAATCTCTAAATAATCCCAAAACACAAATCACTACAGCAAGGGCATAGCATCCTCTCTCCGCTGAACCAAACCATTGAGTGATTGCATGTGTTCTGTACTCCCACCGTGCTGCCTACATGTTAAGCACAGAGAAGTTGAACATTGTCACATCTGGACACAATAGTCAAATTTATAAAGTGGATGGTATCAGGATTAAAGTGGAAACATTCTGGTAGGCATAGTTAAACAACTCCAGCTTTTAAAATTCATCTTTCAGGGATGTTTTATCCCAAAAAAATGTTTTAACCCTTTCACAAGATCTCAATAGTAATTCTCTTTACTGTCTGCCATACACTTTTTATGACATTTGTTCAGAGAATTTGGTTCTGGATCAACTGGTTATCCCTTTATTTAATTTTTTTCTTTTTTGTCATAACTTGTCTGATAGGTATTGTATTGTTATAGTGAGAGGAAATTCTGTCTTGGTCACTCATGGGAGCAAAGGGGTTATTAAAAGTAATTGTTATATGGCTGTGTCTCATAAGGACTGGGAACTACCGAATTCACAAATTTGATTGGCTGAAATCAATATTGAAAGTGGTCTTGATTTTCCCATCTAGACCAGCATCTAGACCGGTCTAGAAAAAAAAGGTACAAAGAATATAAAAAGTTGGTAAAAAAACACAGCCATATAATAAACATCTTATTAACCGAGGTAGGTCGGTCTGTATGGGAGAATCTTGACCTCGGTCGCTGGCACAGACCTCACTGCATTCTGTCTGTACTGGCGACTTCAGTCAAGATTCTCCCATACAGACCTCCCGCTCGGTTAATAAGAACTAAATGTAATCAAAAACAAGCTATGTCTGATACCAAAATCCTGCAAATCTGAGGAGAGATCTCATGTCCTTCAAATTTATGATGATCTTCAAGCATTGATCCATCAGTTAAGTTTGCAGACTTTATTAACTGAATGTAAGTATTATACAAATAATGAATATTTTTCAATTTCACAAGATGTTAACTTCTTCTTGACATTTACACACTTATTGACATCTACAGTACTTCCCCAAAGGTAAGCAAAAACAAACTCACAACATTCCAGAAGAAAGGATTAAACATGATGCAAAAAGCTGCAAACCAAAGATCTCTATTTCTCCAAAAAATTGGAAAATCAATGGCTGCTTCAGCAAGTGGTTTAACCATCTGAAAAAAAAACAAGGCGATTAAAAAAATTGCATGGTATAATTGGCTGACTGAGTTAAAAAAATAAAGACTATCTTGTAGGATTGAGTGGCTCACTCAGTAGAAAAAAGCATTTAATCAAAATACTATGCTGTTACCCAACCATGACTCATTGATTCTAGAATTATATGTTACACTGGATTTAAAAATGTTATTTATTAGAAATGCAACTTGCACAGTGGACTGAAATAATGTACATTGAGTTACTCGTACATTATTCCTTGAACCCAGAGACATACTTTACGCTTTGTTAAGAGCCCCTGACAGATATTGCCTGAGGCATTAACGCTGGGGGAATAAAGGAGAATAAAGCCTTGAACAAATAATTCGAGACTAAAAAGTCTACACTTATAAACCTAATTAATTGAGCTAAAGACTAGTTAATCAAAGCTACACCCTGTAATATAGCTTTAAGAATGTTTTGAAACACAAGCCTCTGGATCTAAGTTACACGGACGATCATAGTACAGTAGCAGCCAAACGAGCTAAATCAACCAAAGCCGTCCATTGCCATTCAGAGGATAACTAACCTTGGTAAGATTAAAATTGTAGAAGATTTCACAACACGACAGTGAACTATGAGCCATAAAAGAAAACAATTATCGACAGGCCTTCCACAGACTCGTTACAAGTTCCTCTCTGCTTTTCCTGTGGAAGCCTCACTGATTGGGCAATCTAAGAGCTAGATTTGCTTAATATGGCGGCTGCAAATGATTGAGGAAATGGGCCTCCAATGCAACGCTGTTTGAAGAGTTATTTTGTCACCAATTCGAGCTCTGAGATTCGATCATGCCAAAGGCAATACACGAGTGAGGATGGATGCATAACTCAACTCGCGGGAAAGTACAGGAAATCGGGAACAACTGATTTGCATCCAACTGAGTGAAAGTCCGGTGCTCTGAAATTTTACGCGATAATTTTTCTCTTCTGTCATTGGTTAAAATCGATCACGTGGTTAAAATCACTGTCTGATAATGTCAATCACGCTTACGAGACATCCACTGTGCACGTGCCTTGAACCAAAAGATATTATTGTGTTGTGTGACCAAGGAGAAAGCGACTTCCGCCATCGATCAGTGAGCCTGGTTCTTAGTTAGGTCATTATTGGAAAATGTTTGAGGAAATTTAGGTTAGAAGAAAACGAAGCGAATTTTTGGCAGTTGTTCTTATCTTCAGGCATTTACGAATTGAACAACTGCGACAGAAATCCTTTTGTCGTAGGGTTTTTTTAGCAAGACAACGAGCCCAATGCGACCAATGCAAAATAACAATTATTTGCGAGAAAGTGTGGTTATTCTTCGAGGTCTCAAGGTATTAACCAGCCGTAGATTCCTTCTTGAAGATTCTCGAGGAAAGACGGCCCTATTTAACAATACGTACAGTAAAAGCCCAAATGTAACAGACGGCGAGCAAACCTTTTCATCCAGCTTAATCTGTCACGAAAGGAAAAAGGAATCAGGCAACAATCAATCTTAGCCATCTGGATTAGTTTTTGACAGTTGACTTGTGTAACAGTCTAACATATTTCTTCCATTTTGTTTAGGATTTCTATTTCCTCAGCCCCTCCCCCTCCCTCTTTTTGACCGTCGCTCACTCCGTTGGTGCAAATTTGTTTCCCGCCTCAGCTTTACGCTGCTGTAAAAACTGGCAGATTTTCACCGGAAAAACACCGAGCACTCGCTCGCCCAAAATGGCTCCGTTGTACTGCAGGCTAAGATCAAGCGAGAGAAGCAAAGTTCGTTTGTAGAATTTATCGTCGTCCTGCCCCACCGTTGAAATTTGAAAGTAGAAAGAATCTTGAAACGAGATTGGAAGCTGCCTTGAGACAGCGGATTTCACACCCGTTGGTGAGACTCCACTGGCGGATCCAGACCTCAACCTAAGAGGGGGGCCCGACCAGGTGTATGCACATGCCGGCTTTTCTTCTTTCTTCGATTTTTTTTTTCACCCAAAATAAGTGCATTAGAGCGCATTAGATCATATCTGAATGTTATTTTACGCCTTATAAATGGTACATTATTATATTATTCAATTATTAATCCGCCACTGGACTCCCCCTTACTTGCCCGTCTTCTTCTACAACAGTGTGCGCTTACAATTACAATTGAAATTATGACGAGAATACTAAACCCGGCACTTGGTTAATGGCAGTAGTGTCATGGCACTGTAGCACAAAGAAGTGGGTTTGCCCTCAGGAAACAGTCATTATTTATCACCTATGGGGTGGAAAAGTGGGTGGGGGGGGGATATGGTTCTCGAGAGCAACAGAGGTAGATCAGTCGCCACCAACAGAGGATAAAGGGAGGACTATGGAAAATTTACTTCCAATTAACTGCTAACGAGGGGGGGGGAAGGGGAATCATAAGAATACTTCAGAGCCTTAAAGAGGTATAGGGTAAATTTTATCGTGTGCGTGATACAATCAAAATCTTCCGACTTAACACGCGTACAATCTGGCTCCACATTAGATCTCTGGGTATACAACGAACACGCAGGCACATGGATGGCAAGCTCTGTTTTCCTATCCCAGAAACCGAGAAATTGAAGAAAATACAGCAAGTTGGCACCATGGCAATGGTACCTTGGCACTGTAACCCAACGCTCGAAACGTCAGCTTTTATAATCGTAACGGTGGCCAATTTACCATTCCAACTTTGTTGATATATTCAAATTATTTCGTTACTCCCACCGACGCAGCCCCAAACAGTCTCTTTAGAAACTATCAGCCTTAACCCAAAGTGTGTTTGCTCTTTCCTTAGGACACTCTGATAGAAGTCGCTACAACTGCGACGGGCCTCTCTCCCCTCAAACGCTATTTGCAGCAAAAATTTGGCCAATTCTACTGGAAGCCAGTTTAAAAACAGTGGGTAAGTTTCTAAAGAAACTGTGGTGCTGCGTCGGTGGGGGTAACAAGGTAATTTGGTAATATCAACTAAGTTGAAATTGTAAATTGGCCACCGTATAGAGCTGAAGGGTTAACACTCGAAACGTCAGCTTTTTATAACTCGTTACGGTGGCTAATTTACAATTTCAACTTAGTTGATATTACCAAATTACCCAGTTTAAAAATAGTTTGAAGAAAATACTGGCGATAGCGAACTTATGAAGAACAGCTATTTTTCTTCACGATGGCAAGTGTCCCCTCCACTGTTCACCCCACCGTGACTATTTGCATCAAAAGAGCTCCACCAGCATCACCCCCCCCCCCCGCATGGGGAGGATTTGTCCCGCTCGTATGATATCGGAAATTTTGAAGAAATCCCGCTTGTAAATTGCTATTTCCTCCATTGCTCCAAAATGGCCATGTATGGTCATTTGTAATCATCTCACGAACACATTACTAACAAAACTAAGCAAGAGGATATAAACAGTTGATATCCTCTTGAACTTGTTTTTCTAATGATCCTCTTTGCTTGATACGAGAACAACTTTCTTGGCGCAAAAGTAACTTTCGGCACTGATACTCAAAGACCCGCTCCAGTTATGGCGTGGGAAAGTTTGAAATCTTAGTTGTATTACAGGTAACGCCATTTAGCGCTTTCCGTTCCCTGCTTAGCACACGTGTAGCTGAACTGGTAAGAACCTGCAAAGTTCTCTAAACGCCAAAATGGGTCCGGCAAAAATAGAAAGATTTGTACAGAAAGTGATCTGGTGGTTACATTTACTCACACACGAGGTTGTGTAACTGTATAATTGAAGTGGCACCTGGCGTGGTTATGAAAAGTATGTTGTTTGTTACTGTTTAGCGCTTTTTTGCTAAGTAGTTTGGATTCCGTCGTAATATCTATGAGCCAGCTCACTCTCAGACTTAGAGGGCGATGTTATGTTAACACGAAAACTGACCTCTTCAGAAAACATACCACTTTCTACTCTGGCCGACGTACCCAGCTATGGCTTTGCGCTTCTACAATATAGATTAAACGTCACCCTGATCCTTTCAATGTGAGCAGGTTTGTCATGAAAAAAAGAAGTACTAAACATTGCGTGATTGACAACTTAATGGCATGGTTACCTCTATCAGAAGGACACTTTTGATTTGTAAGAACACGCCATAAAGAATTGGTAATTCTATGGAATGGACACCTTCGTAAGCTGGACACCTCTGGCAAGTGATCAATCGCAGTGACACCTGAGCGAGGCAGGTGTGGATAGGAAAAGGTCCCCTGGATGACTTGATCAACAATATTATATCGAGTACCACTCAAGGCTTCTTCCTTTGTATGAAGCTTAAACAATTTACGGCCCTTATCGAGTCTTTACGAAATTTTACAAGTGACTCTCTAAATCCGTGAACAGTAAGATAACCCCAGATGGGGGATATATGTTTAGTAGTTTAGGTATCCCATAGTTTTGCTAAACTTAGAAAATCGTCGGCTAAAAGAGTGAATTGATTTGAAAATTGGGAAAAGAGAGAATGTTAGTATTTTATTTTCCAGCAGACCTTGATACTAATATTCTCTGTTTTCTTCAATCCTTCGCATAATCATTAGTGATGATGAGGCAGATAGAAAACCTTGTTTTTAACTTCCAACCAATGCAAGGAGATCTATTATACCTTTTGGGTGATATTCAATATGAAACTAGAGGAAGGAATACATGAGAAAGCGAAGATGAATCTTGCTTATTCAGCAGGTAACCCTATTTTGGCGCGCTCCGCGTGCTGCATAACACACAAATTATTGACAATAAAAACGACTAAACTTAACGACGTACATAATGAAGGCTCAATCAATTATTCTTTCGATGTACATGGGCACGTGCTTGATCAGTATTTATTTCGCAACTGAAAATGAAATGATTAATAAGCTAGTTATCTGATGTAATCGATGACCAGTTGGAGGCATCCGTTGTTTGAATTGTTTATTTGTGTTGAGTATTTAGCTAGCATTTTCTCAAACTGTTTGAATCCTGCTTTTAAGCTTTCATACAAATATTTTCGAGTGGCTTTTCACAATGATCCTGTTTGACCAACAACACTTTCGCTTAGGACGCCGGCACCCTCTCAGTCGGAAAATCCTTTTGAAGAGAAAACCAGTGATTCAATAAATAAACGTGCTCAAAATCCAACGATTTACGAGGACCAACTAACTCAACTAAGAAGTAGAATAAGCCTAGAAATAAAAAGTGATGTTGGCTTAACTCGATAATGTTCTCCTATCTAGCGTTTAGATGTTCCCTTTTTCACATTTTAGGCAAATAATAGTTTCTTTACTTGCTGTTTACAATACGTGCGGCTAAATCCCTTTAAGCGATCTATTTCATGCTGAAACCTTGGTCTTTATGAGCCTAGGTTTTCCACGCAATAATCATTGGAATCAGAAGACATTATTTGTACAAAAAACTATATGCATATTCAACTTAAAAATTGTATAGCAAGTTTTTCAGTTTGTTTGCTCTTGGGATGAAATAAAACCTGTAAAGCTGCTCATTTCAAGTTCTGAGCGCGCAGTACCAGCTGAATGCACGTGTATCTTGAACTAGACGGCGGGCTGTTTCTCTTGTCAATGTAATACCGGTTCATCACGCTCAAATAATCACATGTTCAGAGACGCTTACTCCCTTAAGCTAATAATGTTGCCGCCCCTTTGTAGCAGGTACCCATCATAAGCAAAAATACATGAAACCGGGGTCAGTGTTTTTTAGCGATCAGATGGGTATAGTGTGATCGTTTGAAATTATAGACTGACTTAAAAAAAAAAAATTTATTTCTATAAGTATGGACTTTGTTTTCGACTCTATATCAAACTAATTTGCGTCATAAATCAAATGAAAAAACTGACAGTATTTTGCGAGCTATATGAATCTTTAAACAACTCCTTCGATTATTGTCAGTGAATTTTCCAAATTTAAGTGTTATACAGTCACCCATGTTGATGATGTTATCACTAATGCATATCAAACAAAAATTTTCTTTTACGCTTAAAGTTTCAAGCCTAATTTTCCATATCAAATAAGCTACGACCGACACGCATTTTGAGTGATCTCTTGAAAAATAAAATTACATCCTTAAGTAAATTTCCCCTCTGTATCATGCGTACCTTTGTCGTAAGCGATGGAATATACCATTTGATTTCTTCGCGCCAAAAATTACTGAGCGAAAAAATAAACCGAGGAGATGGTAGAAAATATGCAACGTGAAACGTGTCATCTTTGTTTTCCACACTTGCCTCAGTTTATTTAACGATCAGAGCATAGAACTACTGCAGGTGGTTTTGTAATTAGTTTGAAAGCTTGATGTTCAACAAACCCGAGAGCACATGATCGATCTCACGCGGCTGTTGCGGGTTCACGTCTAGACACCTCCCTCTCCCTTATCCACCTAACCGGCCAATTCGGAGCGAACCGAAAAATACTAAGAACTATTATTAAATGCAGCGCTATCTCAAAGACATTAGTTTGAGTTAAAGAGTATAAAGTATCAGTTTGATTATCCTTATATGACATATAGACTAAAACAGCTAGTGCGAGGGATGTAAGACATATATTCCGTGCAAAAACGGAAGGTCAGTTTTCGTCGAAGAAATCAATAATCATCGAGTTCCATCGACCAAAATTGTCAATGTTTTTAGTTGTCAAGCTAGCTCAGTGTGATTTGTCTTAAATATATGAATAACTTTGTATGCGCGATTGCAACAGCCAGTAGTTGGGAAACCGTGATCATTTGCCATCGCTTGACTTCTGCCCTCGAGCCGATACTAGAACAAGTTCGTTATTGGTGTAGTTAAGAAATTAAAAACTAGGAAAGGGGTTACTTGAAGTAAAAACCGATGCGCGTTTTTCAAATGTTTCTTTAATTAACAGATTTAAAATTTTGCGCTTTTCAGACCGAGTAATCCCAAATGACTGATATAATCACATGCCATATGTAACTAACATAAGTAACAAAGGTTCCTAAAAAGAAAAAAAAACCTTTTGACTGATTCCTTTTGCACAAAAGATATCGATCCACCAAAAAGAGCAGAGGCTAATTCATTGCCCTAATGACCTTAATCATCCTTGGTTCTTTAACTTCCTTCTTTCTCGGTTTCATCGTTACGATCATTATATTTTACTGTACTAGGAGTACGTAAATTCTTTCATTGAGCATTTGTACATTTTTGCCGGCACTGAATTATTTTCATATGTCTGTTTTTGTTCATTTTATTCAAAACACAAAACAGCTACCCTCTCCAATCCTGTTAACCAAATTTCGGTAACCACAAGAAAGACCTATAATTAGTTTTGTTAATCAATTTTCACAACAGATTTTCGGCGTCGCCATTTTCACATTAAGACTAGGAAAGCGCGAACAATAGCAACAGAAAAGACGCGTGATGGCGATATTAATATACCACGAACTTATTAACGTAGCAGCAAAGTGATGCCATGACATTAGTTACAAAGTTCTTGAACATCAGTCGATATCATGAATACATGCGCTTTTTAAAAAAAGAAAAACGTATGGGTTTTATTTCCTTACCTAAAAAGACTGTACAATGACCGGATATCCAGATAGGAAGGCCAGTATATACTTAGTAAACTTAGCAAAGTTTACCACTATCTAATTGAACAAGAAAATGACTTCAAGCACTGACTCCGACCTTAATTGGCAGATGAGTCGTTTTATTAACACGACCGAGATAAATCTCGGCTTGTTTAATTTTTTTTTTACTTTCATGCGAGAGGGCTGTTTTTTAACGCCTTCTCTAATTATGGAAATTTGTAACTTGCGCTATTATCAGAACGCGTGCTTTTTTGCCGTATTATCACCTCATGAACTGTTTTTCATTTCGAAGAATATACTAAATTAGTTTAAACGAAACAAGAAATTAAACTTCAAGAAGCCTTGATAAACTTTTTTTCATGTTTCAGTCTTCCTCGGGTGCCAAACGGAGACATTTAGCTATGTGCGTGTCAGGGAGCAAGAAACGTTCCACCAATTTTACTTAGTAAATTATAACCTCTAAACTCTACAAAACTTGATGATTTCATACTTGTATTTCAGCGTCGCTTTTTTTTTTTCAGAGAACAATAGTACCAAAGCAAACAAATCCATCCTTCAAAATAAACGATTTTCCTGAAAATGGGGTAATTAATTAGGAAATGTGTTCGCGTCGGTCATGTTTATTTGGTTAAATGCCGTATTTCAAGTTGAAGAGCAATATCAGTTAATCTGACCTCGCTAATTTATTTGTCTCATCAATATTACCACTAGCAGCAAAATTGAACGAAATGAGCGAGCTAGGGAGAGAAAATTGCCCCTTATAGAACAGAGGAACAAAACCCGATAATTCTCTTAAAAGAACCTTTCAGAATAACAAGCACTATTAATTAAATTAAAAAGTTTCGGGGAACACTTAAAAACCTTTTCTTGTAGAAAACTTTACTTTGTTGTAATATCATTGTAAGGAGTGGAGTGGCTTTTATATTGAAAGCTTTTCAAATGCACGCTCAGCGTACCTAATTTTTAAAATGTTTGTTAGGTCTGGATCAAATTTTGCTTATTTTCTCTGTCGATCCTGAAGGTCTACGACGGGTAGCATTGGCAATAATCCGTGATCTTTCTTTTGCAGAAACACCTGATTTCTTTGTCTGATTTCTTTCCCCGATCATAGCCACCTGCGCATCGTAACCTGTTTAAACTACAGCTCAATAGGCATTCGGTGAGCACATAAATTAAATTGGACAGCCATTGTTATGCTAATAATAAGATTGGCGCCTCGTGCAGCCCATTGAACTGTGTCAGGTTCCATTCAGCCGTACACACAATGATAGACGTCACAAAGAATACGTTAGAAACAACATTCGCCGTACTCATTGGCATCGTCAAAACAGCCCCGAGCTCTTTAGCAGTGAATCGACGCACTAAGAACTCGAAGAAAGACAATTTTCGACCTTAATTGAACAAGACGCTTAGAAACCGTTTACAGCATCCCGAAAGAACATCTGAAGTCGCTAGAGAGAATATTTTGAGGGTGAAAGCTTGAAATCTTACTTTCCCGCCTTTTTTAATTGCTCAGAAAGAATTTACTACGAAGGAAGTAAGAAGCGTGGATCTATTTGTCGGCGGTAGAAGTGTGGCCAGTGAATCGTGCACGACCAGTGAGAATAATGCCATCACCGAAAAGCTCAAGGTCTGGGCCTGCTCATTCCGCGGATCAAAAGCTGTTACGAGCCAAAGATGTTGTCATCCATCGAAACGCAGAAAAAGGCAACAGTTGTCAGTGTTGCGGGAAGCGACTTGTGGCACTCCCGCTTCTTGGCTTTACAATTCTTTCCATTGGATGTCTTCTTGGAATCGGTTATTTTAGCATCCATCGAGTAACATCCTCTGCGTACCATACAGAAGGTCTTATACCATCCTATGTTACAGGCGCATTGGTAGGTCTATTGTTTTTCTCTCTTCTAAAAAACATAAATCTCTTTACTACATGACTAGATCTTCGTAAAAATGGTATTAAAAGAAATTAGGTAAAACCGAGGCATATGCGCGCAATTTGTTCTTCGTGTCTATTTCGGTGCCCTGTGTTAAAATATGGTAATTCGAACGCTAAACTGCCGCACAGTTCATTACAACTCTTGTTTAAAATGTGTTTCCCCTAAATTCCCAAGTCACGAATTAACACCGTAGGCAGTTGATTACTTATTATTCGGTAGAGTTCAACGTCTGATAGCAATAGATTTAATTCAAAGGCAGTAGATAAATGAACTCACACTGAAAACAACGCACGGCTTTAATGTAACAATTATCAGCATCCCTGGTTTTTGAAAATCGGACTTTCAAATCAACTGCGCCTTTTTGCTACACTTGTAGAAAATCGAAAATGATGAATAATGCCTTACGAATTTAGAATTGCCACTCCTCAATTTTCTTTTTTTTTCAACTTCGTTTGTCTGTGAAGATTTATGGTTTGAAAAATGTTCATTTGATGCGTTTGGAAAGGATCACACAAAAGTTTAAGTAAAGCATATTAGTAACTTGTGTAAATAAAGACAAGTGCCTGACGCTCATACATATTCAATGGCTTATATTTTCACAAATTTTGCACACTGAGCCTCTGAACTTCGCAATCCCAAAGCTTTAATGGATTAATCATTCGAAAAGCAAGTCAAGTTTTCAACTGCAACAATTATAGCGCGGGAAAATAAAGGAACCTTTTATTTTGGATGTGGTCAATGCAAGTTTCGAAACAAACAAAAGAACTGAAGTGACTCTGGCGCGTGCATATAAATCATAAACAACACCTTTACCCATGTTAGGGCTTTGTAAAATGGATCCCACGCCGAGAAGAAGAAAAAAATTATGTGCCGTGCTGTGGTGTTTACCTATTTAATTCATCAACCAAATGTTGCATTGAAACTCACTTTTGATCGGTGAGCGGAGATGAAAGAGATTTTGCGCACAATTCCATTGACACGTGCCGAAAGTGAAACGCATTTGTTCTTATGCCAAAAACGCGTGGTTAGTGAATGATACACTTAACCGCTTTGTTTTTCCTTGTACAATATCACACGCATGGGGGCTAAGGCACCATTAACATAAATTTACTTGCGGCATTCCCAAGACGTCATATTCTGACCTTTTCCATTCTCTGAGGATAAAACGTTAAGATTAGAACCGCCTCACAAGCAAGCGGGTGGAAGAAGCGTCCTCAGTAATCGCCAAAAAGTCTAACGTTTTGAAGCGAAAAAGAAATTAAATGAATCTTTTGTTTTGTAAGCGCTGAAGGGTGAATAAAATGTCAAAATTTATTATCAATACTCAATGCGGTTGTAAAAAGCTTTGGCCCGTTGCCGGAAACTCTCAAGCGTTTGCATATAGCACTTTGAAATCGGAAGATCAAATCATGTTTATTAACTAAAGTTGCTGCACGTGTTAATTTACATAGCAGGTTAATATAGCCTCGTGCCCTCATATCATTGTATTTGCATGTGAAAGACAGTAATTAACAGGTTGTAAAGAAAAACTCTCTGTTTTTGATCCTCGAGGTATCATTGGGGTTTCCTTTTTCCTACAGGTTCGACTAGTAATCGAAGTAGTTTGAAGTCAGGCTTATTTTTGACTGAGTGTTTATATTGATCGGTGAAAAGTTTACGTGACTTTCTTGACCAAAAGAAACGAATATACGATGAGAGTATTGCTTGATAAGAAAAAAGATAGTCATGAAAGGAAAAAGTTCATTGCAAATTGAAGAGCCAACCTGCGAAGTGATCTAGTTATGATTTCGATTCAAGTTAAGCATAGTTTTTAGCGGTAATACGTATATTGATCTTTGAAAAGGTTATTCTTGGCTCCAAATAAGAGAGTTTTGCTTAACAAGTATTGCCAGAGAAGGACAAAGATTAGGCTCTCTGTTCTTGATTGAAAAGGAGAGAAACGGAAGTTTGAATTAATCTTATTTCTGTATCAAACGCAGAAATAAAGAACATCAACTGTTCCGCGTTCAACAAATCAAAGAGACTGAGACTGAGACTTTATTGCAAAACCCTTGTATTTCTGCTGTGTAAACAGAGGCAACACTAGTGTTGATGTGTGCGTTTTAGGAAAGGGAAATCAAAGAACTTCAAGTTACATGTAGTCTTAAAAAAACGTTGGTGATATGAGCTTTAAGGTTATAGAACAATCCGTTGTTTCACATCTTTTACCTAATTCGTTTCTATTTCGGAAACTGAATGAAAGGTTAATTAAAAATAGAGAAAAGATTTATCTAACATATTGTATGATGATCACATTATCATGGTTGGTGAACACAAAGCAATTGGTAGAGTCTCCTGTATTCCAACCTGTTGCATTGTGCGAATTGATCGCTAACAAATCAAATCAGAAAGCACAGCACATTTGTATTGTTTCGCTTCTTTTTGTGATTGTAAATTGAATCAACACTCGCGGTTCTAGGTGATAAGAAAGCACCTGCTATAAAAAACGTGTTTCAAAGCGTAACTAGTGAAAACACATGTTGCGTCTTGCGGCAAACCAAGTCTGCTAAAGTGTGATAAAGTTTTCGATATGATAACTGTAAGAAATGTCTTAAATTTCCATTGTTGAAGGTCGACAGAGAGCTGGCGAAACTATTCGTCCGATAACGATTCAAATATGATAGAGCTTTGACCGCAAATGAATTCTGACCAGTCGAAATGAATGCAGCTCTGTGAAATTATCTCGAATGAAAAGGAAAATAATTTCCTGTTGTTTTGGATGTCTTTGTTTCTTAAAGGAAGCTCAAGGATTTAAATAGTGTTTTAAAAAACGGTAAAAGAATAAAGATCATAAAAAAGAACCTTATCTCCTTCATTTTTGGGTGAGATCTTGGCAGTTTTCATTTCTTATTTCTGTTTAAACATTTCCATTTTCTTATCCAAACAGCTCAAAAATGATTAGAAACAGTCGCGTAAAGGTTCACTAACTCTACGGAATCAAAAAATTATTTGGTAGGATTGTAAATAAAACAATCAGATATATAACGGATAATTATAGATCAGTTTCGCTAACCAAGCTCAGACATCCGAATTTTCCTATCAGAAAGGCCTCGAAAAAGTCCAGCCCTAGCCCACGCGAGCGATTGCAAATGACTTTAATGTCTTTAGATAGCGGGCCATCTTTGAGAAACAAAGAAATGAATTAAATTTTTTAATCTCGGTCACAGTCGAACGACAAATAGCTCTAGGAAAGTTTAACTTCCCTACCCTTAGTCTTAAAATGGAATAGTCGTGTTTCTTTTCTTAGAGTGAATATAGATCTTTTTCGTGTCCATAGTGAAGAACACCGGCGGGATTTGATTAAAAAAAAAAAAAGAGAGAATGAAATCAAGCCGAAAATTCTAGAATTCACTTCCTTGTTTTCAATAGTGGCTCTTTAATTGTTTTTCATGGTTTAAACAACATAAGCGATTAACAAATTAAATTTCAGAAACAAGTCTTCATCTTTTATAAATGTTATTTTAATATATTTCTCTACAGCTTGGTTTGGTTGGATTGCATCTGATGGTCATGTGGAAGCCAAGATGTAAAGTACTCGTGAGTAATTTTTTTTTAAGTCGTTGCTAACTATTTTAGGTGCGTAACAGGAAATCTTTCGGAAACTTTATACAGAATCAGTTCTATAAAAATGCTGTTTTCAGAAGTTGTGATATGTCCGTCGATTTCAAGTGCGAAGTCATCAAGAGTACTTAGACCACTTTCATAAATGGCTGCGGATTAATATTCTTTTGCTAAATTTAAATTAGCCCTTCTGGCCTCGCTTGAGATAATGTATTCTTTTGAATTTTGTACTAGAGAACGAGGTCAGAAGGGCTAATTTAAATTTAAACAAAAGAATATTAACCGGCAGCCATTTATGAAAGTGGTCTAATCTGTAGTACATTTGCGAACAAATTCTGGGGGGGCAATTTGTAACAGACTCTAGTCACCCTAAGTTTTGAAAGTTGAAGATGAAACGAAATCTATTACCCAGAGGGCTACAGTTTTCTTCACTTTTTCTTCACTTTTTTATTCACTTCTTCTTCTCTTATTTAAAATTCACAGATTGTTTCCTCAATAATTTTCACCGTGGCAGCCGCATTTCTTTGTTTCGCCGGAGCGCTTTTTACTGGGACCGAAATTGCGCCTCTCCTTTCTGAGATGGACAGCTGTCAATATTTCCCTGTGGAGAACTCGTGCAAGTGCTTTCATCACAGTGAGCTACGACAAGTGTCAATCATCTTCAGAGACACTGCAAACTGTAATGGTATCCAAAACAAACTGCGTGATCTGGTGTACGGCATGTGTGGCGTGTATAGTGGTGGACTGATCACGTGCATTCTGGCCGCGGTTATGGAGACGGCGTTACTGTGCCGCAAAAGACGTTCTAAGGTGCGTTTTATCCAGACTAAATTAGATCAAATTGCCTTGCATGTGACAGCCTTTAGCTCACAGAAAGTCGAGCTGGGTCATGTAACTTGGTAACCTAGCCTGTTCCAGACGCTCAGTTAGTAAAACGGAGCGAAATAGTAAGCTGCGCCATGATAGCGGTTAGGTTCGGGTTGCGACCAGCCCCACCCCAAACTTCCCTCGTTTTTTGCTCATCCGCCACCATCGCGCTGTTTATTTTTGCACTTCGTGCACCCATTATATTCTTTAGATCGTCATGTTTTCTCAGAAATCAGCCACTTGCAATTTTCCCGCGCTTTAGGCATGGTTTGTTTGTATTTAGGTTGAGTTCTCACCGGCTTCAGATAATTTGTTATGATTGACCGCAGTGTAACTTTGTGTGTTTTTGTTTGTGCAGTTCGCAGGTAATTTTTTCTTTAAGCGCACCTCAATAGCAATGTCAATGTTTTCCTTTTTTATGTAGGCTACCCTTCACTCCAGATCAGATGGCGATGGCAAATGTACCGTCAATTCTCGCCAGTCTCAGACGTCGCAAACTGACCTCAGTGTTATCGAAGAGGAAGACGTTGAACTCGCAGCAACAGAAATTCAACGTTCACCCATCGAAACTCAAGCAAGCCAAACACCATCGAACTTTGTACGAGATGTACCTTGTTCACACTATGTGGTCGATATGAGCATTCCGCGCCGAGATTTTGTTATTAATTACAATTCCAATTCCAGACATGACCCGCCCCCTCCGTACACGGAGTAAAAATGTACCATGCACCTAAGGGTAGAAGGGGGGGTGGGTACGGGGGTGCGGTGGAGAGGCTGAAATGGGTGCTCTTTGCTGACAGAACAAATAAAATAAAAAACAACAAAGCTGTTTGTTTTGAAATGAGGATTAGATTGGGAAAATAAAAATCCCACAGAACAGTTTATCTAGATAACCCTCTCGTGAAAGTCTACAAATACGTTATTTAAATAGATTTAGCCAAATTAAGTTCTGAATCGTCGGGGTATTGAAATTGTGCGTCTGTTGTGAATAATTGGTTTACGGCTAGTAAATAACAGAAACAAAATGTAAGAAGTGTAATGGCTTCCGAAAATTTTATGTATTATATGTTTATACAACTGTGAATAACAAAACTGTACAAATCACCTCAGAGAATTCCTTTGTAAGTAAGGGGCTTTACCTATGGCCAGCTAGTTATGACTAGCTGCCCATAGATGTCTTTGTAAGGATAGTCTCGTAAAGTTTCTCTTTGTAATCACACTTTTACCATGCCATGATTTGATTTGATTCGATGAACAATCAAGGTAAAATATTTTTGTAACCGCAAAATAACTTCTGTTATCTTCTAAGGTGCATTATTCATTAAAAGAAAAAAAAAAACCGTTTTTTCTTTATATCATTTTATCCTATTTGTCGTTTTTAAATAGAAAAATGGCATTTACAGTCATTAAGTTTCTCCAACTTCGTTGAGTGTATTGGCAGTTTAGTTCCCGTCAAGCAGAGCAAGCATAATTTTGGGGAGCGAGTGCTCAGTGTTTTCTTGGAGAAAAAAAAAATTCCCGCCATCTTTGATTTTTACCAAAGGTGGAGGTTGGGAAGAGAGGGAATATTTACCAAGCGGGTGAGTGACGGTTAATAGGAAGGAGGGGGGGGGGGGGAAGGAGGAAGTTTAGTATGGAATAGAAATTCGCTTTTCCCTGCCTATTACCCCACCGTCCACCCTAACTCTAAATCAAATATAGCCGGTAAATAAACGATTGCAAGCCTGTGACGTTAACTCTCCCGAATAAGACGCCTTCACTGCAAGTTATTTTGTTCTCGACATTCTGTTCCTCTAATCCGCTATTTAGGAAAGTTGAATCTCCAAACTCGTTTTCAAGGAAATGACAATTTATCTTGCTGAACTCTAAGTCCCGCAAGATAAATTGCCGGAACTCTGGCCGTAAAGAAAAAAGCCGCCAATTTCGACCAATGAGCGCCCTAATTATGCACTAATGAAACGATGACACTGAAGAATTCGAAGACACTAGGCCAATAGACTGGCATTAATAAGAATAAGCACCCCCATTGTAAGAGACCACTGTTGGAACCAAATTAAGACACACAAATCGATACTTCAGTAAATTCTGAGACCCTTTCTACACCACAACGTCACTCTTCTGCCTCGCTGACCGCGCAACGAATGAGAATAGCGTCCTGGCGAGTCCCTCTCAATGATGTGAGGCTTAAAGTAGGGTCCAGTTTCTACCGAGCCGAGAAACTCTGCTGACTGTGTTTTGGAGAGGTCACTGGTGCAGAGTGTTTCACGCTGGATGAAAAGGTTCGGGATTGAGCTTTGAGAAAGTTTACTCGCACAGCTCCTCTCTCCTCTTGGGAATACAATTGGATACCTGAACAGACGCGATGAATTGCTCCAGGAGAACAAGACACGAGGCCTTGGGAACGAGTTAGTTGAGTCTTAGACGAGGAAATTATTTGATTTCCAGGGTTTATTTAAAATAGATAATATATCATGTTCCTTTACAATAATGTCATCCTCTGAACCCTGGCTCAGACGATTTAAGTACAAAAATTACCCTGGTAAATAGTAACATCGCCACATCAGATATTGTTGCTTATAGAAAAATAACATAACGGCTAAGCAAATAATAATAATGATGACGTGAAACGTATGTGCATATATTATATATATAAGTATAAATTACAAAGGTACATGCATATGATGAAAATATATTATATAGCACTTATATGAAACCTTTCATCAAAAAAATTTTTTTTTACAAACGAAGTTAAATAACATTTCCAAATTTGTTAGTAATGCAAGCATACATCAATAATTTTCCATAAAAAATGGATATTTTTAAAATCTGAAGTGTAGTTTCCCCAGCGAAACTTTGCGTCAAAATAAATTCAAATTATTTGCGGAACATATCTGGGGTTGTTAACAATTCAAACGATAAGCAGCCTTATGGGTTCTGACTATGCCCATGAATTTAACTGAAAACGTTCCTAACGGTATTTTGCCTGAAACTGGAACTTAATCAGTTTGGAAAGCGATTTTTAATATCAAAGTAATAACTTCACGTTAAGGTTGCTCATTTTGCAGCTTTTCCAATATTCTGAGTGGCTAATTCATATCTCTCAAATTAACTTATACATAAATAGCAGTTTGAGAGTATACAAGTTATGTTTATCGTGATTACGATGGAAGTTTTCCTACCTATAATACTTTGGCTTGATTCCGTTAGACAACTGGTTATATGCAGACTCATTAACAGGGACTGAATGGTATAGGCCTGCTGTCAGCAGCAAAGAACGTGCAAAACTAAATTCGAGAAGGGTCAAAAAACTCATTCACAAAAGCTGTCATTAAAACGAAGCGAGGATTAACCTCGCATTTCGTTGACATAAAAAATACTCGAAAAATACCATGAATATTATATGACTCTGCACAAAGTTCTCTGCACGTACATGACAGCATGCGATTCAGTTCTGTTGTTTAGGTCTCTAACTACAAGGCTAAATGTTCTATACGTATAAACGAGGATACAATGCTACATGGAAAGTGCAAGACAAGCACGTCTGACTCTCTGACAAGGGGATATGAATGAGGGACACTTGTAAGGTAGAAATGTTTGTGCCGTAAAACCAAAAGTAAAGCGATCATAATGGCTGATATGATTGTTTTTTTTAAAGTAAGGAGCAAGCGGGTTTTCTAGCCAAGCCAAAGAGTGAAAGAAAACGAAACTACTGTACAGTACTCACTTCGATACTCAATTCGTTGGAGAAGATACCTGAACTTAGACAAGAACTAATACAAACACCCTCTTCATATATTCCGCGTCAGGTATCTCCCCTGAAAAAACGTGGGTATGTGGAGAGAACATTGGAATTCAAACGATCTGAAAAGCTTTCCTTCCTATCAACATTAAGACCCGCTCAATGCAATGTTATCTTTGATGTTAAAGTGGTAGCCATTACCTGACGTATCTCCGTCAGTTACAAGGAGACTGCAAATCTATCGTTGATAATGCGATATCATTTAATAAATATTGATTTAATATTATTTTCACTGAAGCGTCACCTTACGGTTGCAACGCATACTGCATCCAGGAAACGTTTTTTTCAAAACAGAATCGTTTGAAATTCAAAGAAAAATTGCCAATAAAAGTAACTGGCATTGACCACTTTCATAAATGGCTGCCGGATTAATATTCTTTTGATTAAATTTAAATTAGCCTTTCTGGCCTCGCTTGAGATAATGTCTTCTTTTAAATTTTGTACTGGAGAACGAGGCCAGAAAGGCTAATTTAAATTTTAATAAAAGAATATTAATCCGACAGCCATTTATGAAAGTGGTAACAAGCTTTTGTCTAAATTTCACATAAGGTCATTCGGCGAGATGTTAAAAATGCATCACTTGTTCATTTTCACAAAGCCTTTAGAAAGCATACTGAAAGCACTAGGCTGATCTCTGCATTAACCTTTTCACTTTTAACCGGCAAAAATAACATTTAAACGAAAAACAAATCGGAGGAATTTCAAAAACAGGAACAACTTTATCAGTTAAAAAAAAGTACAGGACAATTTTCTCACCAAGATAAAAAATTAGTTGTACAAATAGCAATCAGTTTTCTTAAATATTGTAAATAAGAGCTGGACAGCCAGTAAAGTAAGGCGAACATAAGTTGTGATCTTGGATGAAGATGTCTAAATTGGATAAAAGTCTTTCTGAAATGGATACTTTTTCATTTGTGAGCGGAGGTATAGAAAAGATTTCCTGACAATTTGTTAGATGTAACTACAGTGTCTGCTGTGTGGTGTGGACTTGAAATCTGGCAGATGATCAAGTTTCGAGTATTTGCCGCAAAGTGAGTGCTCGAATAAACGCGCTTAATAGAGTGAAAAAATATTTTACCACTTAAAACCAAGGAATCGTTATATCGTTCGTTCATACTACCGAATTTTTATTAATGCAATCAAGTTTGGCACCAATGCGGAAAAAGAAACACACCAAAAATCGAAAAAGTTAATGAAAGAGCGTTGAGATATGTCTATAATGATAAACATGCATCTTATCAGCATCTCTTGGATAGGATAAGACTACCCTCCATGGAATCTCGAAGAATTCAAGAGATGTTACTGACAATACATAACAGCATATCGAACAAAGCACCCCGGGCAATTAAGAATCTTATTAACTTACGCTCATTTAAGTACAATCTCAGGCGCCAAGATGTTTTATCTTTACCTAAAGTTAACACTATCAAATATGGACTCAAGTCATGGAGATATTATGCAGCCAAGAAATGGAATGAACTCTCAAATGACATTAAAATAAAAGCGGGCACCAAAGAAATAGTAAACATAATTAGATCGTTAAATTTCGATTTGTAACGTTAGTTTTAATAGTATTTTGATTGCGGCGGTAATATTGTAATAACAGTTTTAAATAGCTTTTAATCAGTATTTCATTTGTGATTTTACCCGCTGTGATTATTAGCGTTGTTAGTTGTTAGGTTTTCATTAGGTATTAAGTGGAATACCTGTAAACTAGCTCTTAAGCTAAGCGTATTTCCACGTTAAATAAAGTAAGTAAGTAAGTATGTATGTAGGTATGATGACAAAATGTTTTGTTTTCAAGTCTCCAACGTAACTGACACTCCCACAACCAACAACAGGCCTGTTTTTTGTTTTGGAAATCACGTATCCAGTTTTTTACCACAGCTTCTCTAATTGCAAGTTCGGAGGAAACATAAATAATTTTGAAGCATAAATATTGATTAAATTACACAGTCAACAGTTTGAAAGCCAATCAGGTGACCTTCCATAAGTTCATAAAATATTAAAAAAGTACAAAAATAAATCAAGCTTTGTTCACCAGTGGAGAATTCAGTTTAAGCGTTCGCATACTGATTTGATAATTTCAATTTATCTTTGTACAAAAAGCTCACATTCGGTGTTCAAAATTGTGTTCAAAATTAGAATCATTTTGGGTTACTTCGTCTTTCAAGAAAGTATTCTACAGTCTTCAGATAAACATGAAACAAATGAGCACTGTTGGAACTGAGGCTATCAGTTGCGGCATTTTCAATGTGATAGGATAAAAATGCAATATGTCTACTATACGGGATTTGTCAATAAGTATTGAGTTATAAAAAAGCGTGATGTGGAGAGGGGAAATAATAGAAATGAATAAAGGCTGATAGTTTCGAAAGAAACTGTTTGGGGCTGCGTCGGTGGGAGTAACCAATAACGTAGCTCCATTTTCTGCCTTTAAAAGCACACACAACCCACAATACCTCTATTGGCTCCGACGAAGGGCTAACGCTCGAAACGTCAGCTTTTGTAATCGTTACGGTGGCCAATTTACCATTTCAACTTGGGAAATAATATAGTTTTCATAAGAGTTCCTTCATGAAAGATTGTAAAACTTAACGACAATGTTGACCATCAAGAAGTAGCTGGGTCCAAGCGCTTGGATCAGAATAATTCCTTTCACACATCAACAGATATGCTCTTCCTTTGGCTTTTTGATGAGACCTTAAAAATAAAAAATTAAAAAAAACATTTTTAGCTGGTTCTACCGTCGATGCAGGAAATCGTCACCAGTAAAGGGATGTAAGATAACTGAGATAGGAAAGTAAGTGCAACAAATGAATCTAAAGAAACATGCCAGGAGCAGTTTTCGATGAGTGAAAACCAATCAGAATGAAGGTTAACGTGATTCGCTGGTCAACGAGGAATAAAATTGAAAACAAGCAAATTGTAAGAAGTGCGGAAAAACGGTGAGCGATCAAGTCGCGATAGTTGAGAGTTTTGCATCTGATTGGTTAAGATAGTGGCGCGAGTTTTCTGGACCGACTAATCACACAGCGAACTAAAGTTAACCTTGCCAATCGCCTTCGAACTAGCCAATCAGCGCGCGTAAAAAGAACTTCTCACCTTCGTGGTGTAAAACTCATTAAGTATACCCGGTACTGAAAATAATAACACATGTATAATTCATACAATAGTACACTTACTGGTACTGTCATTAAGTATACCCGGTACTGAATATAATAACACATGTATAATTCATAGAATAGTACACTTACTGGTACTGTATGTATCTCCCCATTTTTGTGTAATTCAACCGACAGACTACTTGATGAAGATCCTGGACTGTTTGTCTGATCTGTCACAACAAAAGCAATGGCATTTAAGTCAGCACACAAATCAAGCCTTTTTCAACATCTCAATTTTTCCTCAGTGGTCTGCAAACATGGCTGATGTGAACATTTATATTCAAAATCAAGGCCACTACTCTACACTGATCAGTTTGTTGATTCTCACAGCCTCCGCTTGTAACAATATGCCAATATTAAAGGAAGATATTTTGACGCTGCTCACTGACGAAGTTTAAAACAAAAAAATAAGTCAACAATTTAGACCATCCATCTTACTATATGGCTGAATTAACTTTCAATTAGAACACAGCTTTGTTTTAAAGCTACACAGAATTGCTACATTCATATTTGTTGCACTTAAACATTGACAAATTTTCCAATATTCAGAGGATGTTTCATACATTGACAGGATGCGCAATGAAGAAAAGAGAAGTACCGACTTTTAGGTGATTAATAGTGATTTGCAATTCATGAGTTTAACCTTGAAAGAAATGCAGCCTGGAAAATCCATTGCAGTTCTAAACAGCTAGTTGCATTAGAGATCTGTAGCACGAACGAAACCTTGAAATGAAAACGTGCTGTTCATTACTGAATCCCAACAACACATTTACTATCATGACACTGTATACGAACTATGATTACAAACCTCCTCTTCCTCTAAGATCATGACCACTTCCACTGTCTTCACTGCAAGACCAAAACACGCTCTGTTAACCCTTTAAATCTCAAGATCTGATTGTTAATTCTCCCCTCTGCTGCTACACAATTCCTTGCTAATTAGTTACCATAAGTCGGTGTTATATCAAGATAACTTCAACCTGATAAGTTTGAGTATTCTTGTCACTTGTTTGCTGAATAATGTATGGCAGTGAAGGGAAAAGTTCCATGTTAATCGCTTCTGACGGTTAAAAGAGTTGAAACACTTGAATTTGTAATGAAATTTGTCTATCATATAACAGCGATAACATGTGGATAGCATGAAGAGGTAGTACACCATCTGAGGGCACAACAGTATGTTACGTTTTTCCCCACAGAAGAAAGTGACAAACTCCAGTGTCATAAGCAAACTATGCCGGTTAAATTAATGGGAAGGTAACAGATTCAAAGCCTGCAAATGGTGAGGTTTTTTTCTTTCACTGCGTCAGGAAAATACACCGTACAGAGAGGCAACAAATGGAACTATATCTTTGCATTTGCAGCCCAAAGGATCAATGGATTGTCCCATTGTCAAGGCAACTGAGTGAGAGACTTAGGTGACCGACTTACTCTATATTATGATACGTAATCAAATTGAACAATCTATTACCTATTGGCATCTGGAGAAGACTGTGAAAAAACCTGTGTTATTGGCGTGGAACTATCACTGCTTCCAGGTATTCGATTATTGGTCCTCATCTAAACAAAAAATTACAATATCATAAAATTGCAATTTAATAACAGTCTCACCAAATTGAAGACTTGAGACTTGAAAATTATATAATCTCCATATGTGAAGACTATGCACCTGAGATTTGAATTTAAATCTAAACAAAAGTAAAAGCACTTCCATGCTGCTCAAACAATGTACAGGCTTTTCAAACTTGTCTAAAACATCAAATGAAAAAATCCAGCTAAGCGATTTCTAATTCAGAGACTGCATTAATTACAGATTGAAAAAAAAAAAAGAAAACTCCACACAGTTCATGCCAACTTTTCTATTTTTGGTTTGTGTAAGGGTGGTTTGACTCTCCAATTTCCATATTGGTCTGGAATTAAAATCTCTTAACCAACCTTGTTAATTCTACAATTTAGTCAGTATTAAAATTACTGGACACAGGCTCTTAACTTACCTGAAAGTGAAATCAACTAATTTCATGTAACATTTTTTCCAAATAAAAATTCAAATCAAAAAGAAAAATTTTGCTCACCATTGTTGGTCCCAATGGCCATCTACCAGCTTAAAAACAAATGAACATTTTTCTGTGTTAGTGAGGGAGTATGTATAAACTAACAAAAGAAAAATTTTCTGGCTCTTATAATTAGGTATTAATCACCGATAACTTCAAAGGTGAGAGTGTAAACTAAAACCCTTTGAAAAATTTGGAAATCATAGTTCCTCAGGTACTACATTAATTTTATACTTGAGTCCTACACATTTCTAACATCCTATAACAAGGTGGCTAGATGAGTGCAACACCATAAACGTGTTGGCCATGGCCTCCAGACAGGATTTTCTGGAAGAGATCTTCAAAACTAGCCTCTTACATTTATTTAGTTACAAACTCACTACTTGAAAACTGTTAGCATGAAATAGTATCTCCACCAACCTCCACAGGTACATCTACACTGGCAAAACCCTGAACTGGCAGATGTTTCTTCTGTCGATCCACTATTATCTTGTTTTGAAGACAAAGCCATTTGTTTGTGTGACGGCAGAGACACATTCATGGGTGGCAATGTTTTGACATTTGCCTTCTTTTCACTCTTCTGGAGAACAGAATGCCTACAAAAATCCACATGTAAGTTTGGTCAACCATCTACTCCAGGGCCTTGAACATCTACCTGACACTATACAAATTGTGTTCATTCACAAGGCTTCACGCACTTTTGTTTCAGAGCAATCTACCTGTCTTGATCACAAATCTGATTGACTATGCTTCCTCAAAGAACAATTTTCAACATTAATGCAAAATCCATCTTTAAAATACTTTCAACACTTCAACTGAGTGTTATGCTTCCTGCCCTTAACCCTTTTACTACCAGGATAATGACCAACAAAAAGTTAATTCACAGAATTCAAGAGTACCAACCATCAAGTAACATCATTTTCATTTTTTCATTTTTTTCATTCATCTTTTTTTTTTTCATGCATGACTTAATTTTATTCTTAAGTAGGTAATATTCTTTGTAAATAATGTTTATCCATTTATGTGTGTCCCCGCATTAGTATGGGATAATCCTCCCAAACTAGAAGGTTCTCTGACACATTAATAAAGTTTCTTTCCATCTATCTATCGATTTCCCTTGAAGAATAAAACAAAAGTTCACTAACCTGCAAGGATTTCTCCAAAGAATAAAGAGAAGAAGAACTACTATGCAAAAGGCACTGATAGTGCACCCAATAATGATACCAAGCTTTATATTCATTTCTGGATTGTCATCTAACTCTGAAAGCCTTGGCCCTACTGTTGTCAGAGAATGATCATCTGTCACAAAAGAAGAGGCATACCAGTGCTGTCAAACACTTTCCAAAGATGAGTAAACGTTTCAATCATTACTAACATTGTGCTTTTATTTCTCCACTTGGGTTAAGTCTTAAGGGGCAGTCCACAGCTACTGGAGCTTATCTCAGCTTCTGAAGGTTAACATGACTCCCCGTAAATATAGTCACCTTAGACAAGGTGCTAGTCCAACTGAGTAACCCCCCCCTTCCCATCCTGCATTTTACTAATGGTCCCTCCAAATGTCACCTAGTGTTATTTTATATCCTGAGAGGTGAAAGGCAATCTTAAAGAAACCACTGTCTTTTCAAAAACACATCTATAGCTGTACTTTAGCCAGGCTAACACAGACTACTGATCTGACCATTTTTTCGATCTTCTTCAAAAACTCCTTCGTTATAAAGTAGTTTCAACGGAGAAGATTAAATTTTTGCTACACAAAAATAAACAGTGTTGAACCTCCATTTGTTCACCACATCAACTAATTTTTCAGTGCTTGCAAAGGAGGTCAGAGATTGCCTTGTGGTTTGCAATATTGCAAGCAAAAAATAAGGCTTTCTGACAGACACAACCGCTCTCTTTTGAAGATCTGATAACAGAGAGCAGTTACATGATACTGCTAGAAATTTTATAATTCACATTTAGCTTACCAGAGGGAATTTTTACTATTTTGGACCACTTTCCTGCAACGTCATCATTGTACTCTGCACGTACTTTAACATAAATGAAGGTTTTCTTCACATACAGGGTGGTTGTCACTATATCTGGAAATCTTCTAGAAGATGGTATACTAACAGTCTGCACATGCCATTCATCATCTTGTAGGTGTGTGTCATTTGTAAAAAGAATGGTGAAGCTTTTCACCAAAGCATTGAAAACTCTTGGACACTTCCATGACAGCTGTACCTGTACCTGGCTGGATGGCAGGATTTTGTATGTAACATTTGGACCAACCCTTTCTGCTACAGAGGGCGGCTTGATTGTTACTATTTTAGTAAAAGGTCCAAATCCATGATTGTTCTCAGCACGAATCTTGAGGTAGAATTCTGTCCCTTTCTTGATGCCTAATAATCTTTGATTGAACTGCTTAATCTTACTGCCGAAAAAGCCCAAGGAGTAGGATACATTTTCCCACATGGAATCTGGATAGGACTTGTTGTAAGCGTAGAGAATATCAAAGCTGATGAGCTTTCCATTAGGTTTAAGAGGTGCCTCCCACTCTAGTTCCACAGATCTCACAGTCAGGTATTCATATTTGATATTTTGTGGAGGTGAGCTTAGTTCTGAAATAAAAGAAAAGTGCAATTATACGCAAGAGCTCAGAAAACCATATTCTGTCCTCAGATAATAAATCTGTTGTTGTTGTTTTTTTTTAGCAAAGAAAAACACACCAAAAAAAAAAAGAAACTACACTATTTAAGGTTAAAACAACTTTCCATACCACTTAGTGGAAGTTTACAGTTTTTGAATGCCGTGCTGACACCTGGAAAAATCTCTTTCTCAGATCTATAGTGAGACTGAACAGAGATTGTGTACTCTCTTCCAGGAGTAAGTCTACGTAAGACAATATTCTCAGAATAAACTGTTCTCTTGATAGGGTCATGTCTTATCCTGCTTCGCAAGAAATATGTCACTGTGTAGTGGGTGGTGCTTCCTGAAGACAAAGGTGTTTGCCATGTAAGGAGGATTGAAGTTGGACTGTCAACAGTACACACCAAATGAATGGGTCGTGGAGGGATTAGTGGATCTTTTGAAGGATCTGGAGCACCTGGACCTATTAAAAAAGGTAATAAACAACTTAATGCCTTGGTAAGTAAACAGTTCATGCAGCTGTATACAGTTCACACAGTGGCTCCAAACACATCTCCAGTCCCTGCTTAAATCATCAAGTTTACACACTGATCATGAAAAACAAATTTTATCACATACCCCTGTCAGTGGTGACATAGGTTGCTCCGGGAGGACCTAAAGTTCTACCATCCCAAGCCATCAATTTAATTAGATATCGGCTTCCAGGACCTGCAGAAAAAAAAAAAGATGCATGATCAAGGTAGCTAAAATGTGCATGGGAAACCATGTGGATACAAACTTTATAAAAGTTTTGGACACAAGATTTTAAACATCACAACTGATGTAAAAGTTGGAAAACTTCTGTACTACCCTATCAACCAAATAAAGTTGCACCTAATTTTGATAAATCCTGACTTCACCATGGAAATATCTTTAAAACATCCACTGCTTCCACAATCTTGAATTATAGTAAATTTACCCCACTCAAGTTGCAGTTAGTTTTATGATCATTTTGCTCTAAGAACAATGGTTATGATATGTCCAGAATGTTAGCTATAAGTTCTGCAAGCATCCTGGTGAACTTACCACTTCTTAATGGAAATGCAACCTTTTCAGTTTATCAGTGGCAATAGAAATAACATTTTGATTTTGTTTGTGTTGCCAACATTTCTCTAACTTACTTAATCTTTGTAAAATGTAAGTTCGCTGCTGTTTGTCAACAATGAATGGTCCTTTTTCCATGCTGTGATCTTGCATGTGGACATAAAATAAATGATACTCTTCTACTGAGTATTGGCCATATGTTGGGGGAAGCCATTTCACAATTGCTGTGCTTGAGTTATGGTCTGCAATCCATACAGTTGGTGGGCTGATCACTGTTTTAAGAAAGAAAATCCAAATCAAGTTACACTACTGCATTATTTACAAACAAGTCTAGAGAGCAATCCATGCCTTTATATATATTGGTGAGCCAATATCAATTTAGGGTCTCAATCTTAATCTAGTTCTTGGGGCTCGTCATTGGCCCCTGACTATACACTTAACTCCATCTGTGCTGGTGCTGATCGCATGACTGCATCTGAATCTGTGAGGAATATCAGCATTTGGTTTGTGATAACTTAGTTTTGATGGACAAACACCTCTACTGAATTGTAATCAGTGTTTTATCACCTTCCTTGCACAACTAACCATTGGATGTCTGATTGAGAACTCTTCCCTTCACAGCTCCACTAAAAGGCCCAACACCTTTGACTGTAGCAGCAGCCACTCTAATCGCGTAAGAAGTTCCTTTGGACAATCCATTTACGGTCTTTTTAAGAGTCTGCCCTAGAACTTCCACAGAGCTTGCCTCTCCTTTGTGATACTCTTCTTTATAGGAAATCACATATTTTGTTATGATACCATTACGATAATCTCTAGGTGGTGGTGCCCACTCCACATTGAGACTCTGTTCCAAGATAAATTTGCAAAAGAGACAAACACAATTAATGCCTTTTCCTTAGACACATAGCGCAATTCATCTCTCTTGCATTTCATGTTTGGCAAGAGCAATCATTCTAACTTGGAATATGCAGTTTGAGTAAAAAAAAAAAATACGAGAAAACTAGTTGTGAAGTGTAATCAATTTATCACTTACATCTGGAGTTTGACTGGAGACTTTTACATCAATCGGAGCTCTGGTTGGTCCTAAACAAATCAGGAAAAAGAAATTTAGAGGACACCTCCAACGTATAAAAACTGTATATACCCAAATACAAGCACTATCAATGCATTAATTTTTAAAAGATCACATTTTGCCTTGCATGACTTTATATGGTTGCCACTTTTATCTTCAGAAAATATCTCTTTTGGTTGCACAATTCCCACAGAGATCAAGAACATAAAGTGGCAACTGCAAAACATCATATTATGATTCAACATGGTGATACGCACAGAATTCCAGTTAGAAAGCCAATATATATATTTAAGCTAGCTTGTAAAACAACTTTTTGATTTTGTTGGAATATTAATTAACAGTGCAAATGTATGTCAAATATGTCAACAGTGCAAATGTACGTCAAGCACATAGAAACATACCAGAAAATACCAAAAAATACCAACTGTTGGTGGCTTCCACAACTGTATATAATAGCACTTTTCTTAAATGCAATAAAATTATCAACTTACGGTCTTCCTTTGTCCTCTGCACAATTACTTCTGATTCATATCCAACAGCTTTGGCATAAGCCTTCACATACAAACTGTAATTTGTGTATCCCAACAGTTCTTGTACTTCATAGCTGTGGGTATCTTTACTAATGACTTTGGCCATAGCTGTGCTTGGTTTCCCTAACTGTTCGTAATGCAGAGTGTATGCACCGATAATATGGTTTCCAACGGGAGGACTCCAGCTTATAACAATGGAGGATGAGGATAATGGTAGGGCAACAACATTTACTGGTGGGCCAGGTCGATCGCCTATAAATTATAGAAAAAATTAAAGGCCATTAATCAAGTGTTGAATGCCTATAACACACATACATACATTTAAATAGGCTAATATGCGTGCATTTGAAAATCCTAACTTGCAGGAGGCAGACCAGTTAGCTATTAACACAGCACAGAACTTGCAATAACCACAAACAAATTCAGTGAAGAGCAGGGAGGACTTAAACCCTGGACCACCAGATTACAAGTCCAGTGCCCTAACCACACAGCCTTGTCCCATTCTTATGGCTCCTCTAATAAAATTAAAACCTATTAGAGGGACTTGTAAAACTTTGATCAAATAAAATGCCCATAGTACTCTTGCTTAGGCAATTCAAATCCATAGGCTCTGTGTAAATTTTAAAAATTAGGATTGCCTAAATGTCATGAAGTGCTAGCACTGATTATACAGCCTTCAGGTGATGTGATTTAATTTCAATCTTTTTTTCAATGTTACCTTTTCTTTGAACAATCAGACAAGCTACAGTCTGAATACTTCCTGCTTCATTCTGTGCAAAGCACTGGTACAATGTATTACTGGGTGGTGAACTGGATTCTGTCAAGTCTGCTCTTCCCTTGCCAGAGGTAACTTATGTATGGTTATCGCTGGAATTCAGCTTTTTCCCATTTTTAAGCCAGTACACCAAAGGAACTGGTTCTCCACTAGCTGCACAATTCAACTTCAAGGGTTTACCTTCAATCATCCACACCAATCCGGAAGGTTTTCTTGTAAATTGAGGTGGCACTATAAGTAGCAATATGATAATTTAACTCCATGAATGTTGCCTGTTAGATCAAAGTCTCTTGGTGACACAAAATTCTAACTTCAAAACTATAAATGATTGCCAACAACGATTTTCCCACTGACACTTTCCTCAATAAAGGCCATTAACTTTGCAGGATAATTGGGTACAGAGTCATCAAAACTTAACAAGAAAGTGGCACTGACATCAACATTTTTTAACTTTTTGGGCATGATGCCCATGGTCCCAAAAGTCACATTTCTATTTTTATAGTTTTATACATTAATTAATATCAAATTAATATTCTTACAAAATCATCTTGAGGTGGTACAACCAGAGAAAATAGACGCATTCCGAAAAGCTCAAGATAGCCTGCTGTAGCACCCCAACAGGCAATCTCACTGAAAAGGACCAAAAATAACATTGACAATACCTGTGACACTTAGCCAAACAATTCTGGAAATGGTTTTTCCATCTGCATGTGCATAACACTCATACTGTCCTTCATCACTTTTTTCAACATTGGTAAAATTGAGATTGTTGACTCCATAAGTGAGATTAGAAACATTGTAAGTTCTCCCAGAATGTTTATCCACTTTCTTCCAGAGCAGCTTTGGAAGGGGATATCCAGTTGCAGCACATTCTATTACAGCCGAGCCCCCCTTCATAGCGGTTATGTTTTGATGTTCTCCAAGAAATTGTGGGCTTGTCCTTACTCTTGACGAATCTAAAAAGCAACAATATGTTCATTTTAAGACAAACAAATGTGACAAATGCAGACATCATACTATCATTCTACTTGCAACCTACTAGGTAGGGGCACATTGTTTGTTTGTGCAACTCAATATCTGTTTGCATTATACATAATACATTTTCAACTCTTTTCAAATGTCAAATGCAAATATTGATTACATAGACCTAGCCATTTTTCCCAGCAAATATAGATAAGGGAGGTGAAGAGTAGAAAATATAGTGGGAATTTTACAGGAATCAAGGAAGGAGTAAAGGAGCTTTAATTAAAGGAAGATTTTACACACTATGTGACTAATCAACAGTTTAATGCATGTTCTTACATCATTCCTGACATTGTTGTCAGTAATGATGTTGACAGAGTTGAAACTTAGGCAGGGGTCGCACTTACGCTTTTGGTGTTTACATTGGACATAAAATCTGTCATTGCATGCTTGCGACAAGTGCGACCCTTTTGTCGCAACCAGACATAACTATGTCCGAAGGACCTAAAGATCAAAAAAGCCAATGTCCTGCCTCGAGGCAGGCCATATCTCATCTTATCGCCTTAAAATAACAATTTTTGTTTTTCTTCTTTCGCAACATCGATCAAATCTGAAATACCAGCAAAAATTTGGATTTTCGCAATTCTCCAAAGTCAACACGTGTGCACAGCTAGCTATCGCTTCAATATTTTAGTCACAGGTTTTCTCGACACACGTTTTATGTGGTCCCTATTGCAAATTTCAACCCATACCGATTTACAAATTTGCACTATTCATCTGATTATTTTCAGTATGGGAATGGCTTGTTTTCACCCATTGGCTCGCAGATATTTTCCCATTTTTCACATCCGTCGATGTCGGTTTAAAGCAGCAAGAGCCAACATTTGCCGTTAACGAGTGTTGTACAATGCGTACAAATCAATAAGGTTTTGTTCATTGAAAAAATTAAACAGAGAATGAAGAAATGTCGCTAATATAACTAGCACNAGGATCGTGCATCATACGTATCTAATACCGCAGTTCAAAATATATGAACTTCATATATTTCATTGTATCTGATTCACAATCTTAATCAAGAGCAGGTACTGTCAATAACTTAAGTACAATAAATGTTTACTTGGTGTACAAGTAAGATATGCTCTCTGAACAGGTTTGTGCCCTGTGATTTAAAAAATGTAGGGTCATATGATAACTCATACGACTTCAAGCATAATAATCCACCATGATGTTTAAGTATGTGAGTCTGATTGCAATTAGCAAAACTAACTCTCTACAAAATGCTTTAAGCCTTAAAATGACTTCACTGGAATCTGAAATTTCTTATTTTATTTTTTATGTCAACTCTGAGGCTCTATTTATAGGAAATATAGGAAGTTTTACCCAAAAAAAATTTTATAGTATCAGAGGTTTCATTAAGGGCCGGGCACCGGGCACCGGGCAAATTGACCGGCTGTGAAGACGACATTGCCTGGCTGCTTTTAACATCTCAACCATAAGAAAAATATAAAAGTTACTTTCCTATGTTTTCCTAATGTGTCTTCTAAAAAAAATATATTTAAACTTATATAACACTAAGTGACTAGAAAGAAACACACGTGGTTCACTGCAACTCTGAGTTTCATGCGTTAAGCACTCATCAGGAAGATTTTAAAATCTGCCTGATGAGTGGGGAGGAGCGTTGCGTGACGAGACTAAAAACGGCTGTGAGGGAGACTAGGCATATCTTTGCCCTTCACAAATGAGATATTAATATTGAGGTCTTCAATGCTGTAAATTAAAATAAATTAGCACATTGGATTCAGAAATCTCCGGTTCAGGGTTTGTCACAGTAAATGTCTTCAGTAAAGCCAAAACATAAAAAAATAGCAGTACTTGGAATATATTAGTTCTTCCATTTTTTATCAAATACACGAAGTTTATTTTCTCTAAGATTGTTATCTTAGTCGGCTAGCTCTTTCAACTGGTTGCCTAGCACGTGACCAATTTCTTCCCCGCCAGCTTGAGTTTCAAGACGTATCATTACGCAAATGGTACAACTGGTTTGCACTAAATTAAAGTTTGAGTTATATTCAGAGAGATCGACATGCTGCTCCTACAGTGATTGAAAATTGTCCCGAAAGCTCCATTCTTTTCTGATTTACTTTCGAAATTTGAATCTTCTGCTAGCGACGGGAACTGAAAGTCAATTTGTTGTAGAAGCTGCCAACTTTCCTTTGTCTGTGTCTGTGGTGGAATGCAAAAACTCCACTCGTGTGCTAACAGAAATCTTTCATTCACGGCAACTGTAAAGAAAAGAACTTTTTAACACCGTGTGTTTGTTAGCAGATTCATCTTAGTAAGATTAGAAAATAGGAGAAATCTAATGCCAACACCTTTTCGTTTTTTATACTTTTATTGAAATCATATACCCTCTGAAACGAACAACTTAACAATCGTTTACACTTATATTCCACTCTATATTTGCACAGAAACCGTGTCATCCGAGATCCCAGCAAATGATAGCTGCACAGAAACAATGCCTTCCGAGAACTTGGCAAATAATGAAATGCATGATGTTACCAAAACAGCTTCTAGTGACCTTACCATGCAACCAAATGTTGCAAAAGCAAATCTACTAATTTATCTGTTGACTGATGCATCAAATCATAATTTAAAAAGAGCTGGTAACTTTGGGTGTTAGTTTGTGCTTCAAAATGGTGGAAAATGCATCTCTGCAACTGTAGAATTTAAAAAATTTTAGGGGGAGCTTGCCCCCCGACCCCCCAAGTAGGCAAGGCCCTTTGGGCCTTGCAGACAGATGCGCCCACCTGTGAAATCCAGATGCCTTCCTGCTCTAAATTTTAATGAAACCCCTGTAGTATCCTATAAAACTCCAGTATTTAATACTGGAGTTTTATAGGATATTATAAAATTAACAAGAATTGTAGGAGATAAAGGAAGGCTAGGATGTATGTGATTAAACAGTGTCATTTCAGCCTTAAGTAGCATACAGTAGTGTGTTCAACTTTGACTTCATTCTATCAAACATGACAGGATGGAAACCGCGTGCACTGTAAATACCTCCCATTGTCCCATACAAAGCTTTGAAAAGTTCTCTAAGGCTTTGTATGGGACAACAGGAGGTACTTACAGAGCACACGTTTTCCGCCCTGTCATGCATGATTTTATTCTCTTGAGTTCTCATGAAGATTCCCACAGGTTACCTGGTCCTCCAAAGCATGCTGTCACACATCAGTTAGATCAGGCTTAGATTATTTCAAATGAATAGGAATTAATTGTTGCTGCAATTCAATCATTTTAGAGATCACATCATGCAATTATTCTAAAATAAATACTGGCCACTTCAACAGTCACACAAAATACCCCAGTAACAATATTTCTTTACATATTCCCTGAGAACGATCAATAGTCTATTTTACAGTTGTGTGCTTGGTTGCCAAGCCTTTGAATGGGAGTGAGGCTAGGATTGACCTTGTTATGATACAAACCTTGCTGCCTTTCAAATGTAAATCACTTTGTTATCATGCTAAGTAGATACAGGTCTCTATCACAACAAAGTCACCTTCAGCCTCACTCTGAATCAAAGGCTTGGCAACTAAGTACACAACTGTAAGTATTTGGTCCGTATCAAAATCATAAAGCCAATATGAGGCTGTGTAAAAAAAGGGGTCATCACTAAACCCTAATTATAAGACTGGTAATATCAAGCATCAGTTGTACTGCACTTACCAGTTAGGACTGCGAGGCTTCCAAGGTTGCTGCGGCGTGTTTTGACAACATTTTCTGCCACACAGCTGTAGTTTCCTTCATCTGTTTTTCTGACATCTTTTATTTGCAGTACTCCTTCCTTCAATATAACAGATCTGTCACTAGGTTCTAAAGGGCTGCCATCTTTTTCCCATACTAATGTGGCTACTGGAACAGCATGTTGGATTTGACAAGAAAACCTTGCAATTGATCCTACCCAAGTTATTGTGTTTTGGGGCTCCTTATGGAACTTCTTTGACATTCCTTTTAAAACAAAACAAGTCAAGAGAAAAGCAATCAAAATCGACATTAATATTGAATATAATACAATCATATAGAAGGGCTGCAGAGGGAGTTAACACAAAAATATTGGGAAGTATTATTGAAGCAGGTGTCTTTTGCAAGGTAACTAACTCCCAACCTTAGTGCATGCCTTTCTGAAAAATTCATAAGCACACTATTTTTAGAGAACCAACACTATTTTACATCATAAAAAGGTTATTAGATGGAGATTTGAGTTATTCTGCTGGTAAGAGGAATGAAGCCCTTCTACAGTGAAATGAACTGAATGCCATTCTGTCAAATTAATCAGGCTTCACATCTAATCTTTACTGATTACAACTAAGTATCAATCTCTCAAAGCCTGTGATTGTTTCCCCATATTCTTATAAGTTTCCTCCTGTTAGAAATATATAAGAATGTGACAGTCACAAGCGCATGACACTTGATTAGCGTTATGTTTTATGTCAGCAGATGATGTTAGCAATGACGTAGATTGTATTTCCTTAGAAATCTGATCGCGGGTGTATTCAGTAGAAAGGGGTGACAGTGACTGAGAAGAGATTCAAGTGATAGGGAGTGATTTTAGCTGTGAGCATTAAAAAATATTCAACGAGACTGAGAGTGACTAGTGTTGATATCCGCGTTTCCAACACTCCTAATAATTGATTTGTCAAGTTCCAGTAGTAAAAAAATGCATATATACCACAGTTTGAGGCAGCCAGAAAGAAAATATTTCATTAAAAAAATGCCAACTCAGCTTTACTTGTTATTGTTCCATTGACATTAGGGGCGAATTTCACAATACTCAGACAATTAGATACATACCCTAAAAATTCACTTGAAAGGAGGCATCATTTCAGTGCAGTTACAGCATGCAAAAACCGAGAGAAAAAAATGTTGAAGGGTGGGCAAACCACAAATCCTTGTCACCTTTGGCCAGACTTTTTCTTCTTTCATCAGAAAATTTACACATTAACCTATTGATGTCCAGTGCACCAGTATA